TGAATGTGATATTAATTCTTGAATTAATCTCTGGCTGAAGTTATCGGACTTTCAAAATAAAGGAGCACAAATAGAGACAATTGGGGAACTCAAATAAATTGTCTTAAATGTGTTTAGCAATAATGGAAATTGTTTTTTATTTTTGCCTGCCCTGATTTATTTTGTATTAGTTGATCTTCATAATCAGGATTTTTCTTGCAATTCAAATAACAATTTTTTGAATCTCAGGCCTTTTAATGAAGAAAGAGCTGTGAAAATAAAATCCTCCGCCTGTTTGAAACTTAGACTGCTGGCTGTATAACCCAAACTTCCTTTTCCTTTGATTTGCAGCAATGTTGTAGTCTCTATTACATGCATAATGTAGGGAGGGTCTCCAGAGAGAACAGTCCTCACTGATAAGATTAGGGGGAGTGTCTCAGACTTGAGTTTAGATAATCGAGAAAGGATCACTAAAGAAATCCCTCTGCAAGAGAGATGCACAGAATGATGATGCAGTAGCCAGGATGGTCCTTCAGTGCATGAGCTGTCATAAGGCCTGAAATACCAGCTGCCTCTCTTTTAAGTATAGAGGATGGCTTTTGTCACCAGCTCCACTGATACTGGGGTACCTTATTGGAAAGCTTTAAACTTAACTCAAGTCTCTGAATTGACGCACCTTACTCAGAGAAAACAGGTCAGACATTTAATTTCTTATTTCTTCTTTAACTTCTTGCCTATACTGGTCTCTTTTTCTTTTCATGTTATTGTTGGCACTTTTGTTTTCATTCAGTTCCTTGTTTTGATATGCTTAGTGTCTTGAAACTGATCATAATGTTTAAGTCAAACAGTATTTAGGTCTTTTATTTCCAAGTTTGGTTGAGGGTAGATTTTGCATGCATATTTGGTCTGCCTAGTCCTAAATTGGTAGAAGGAGGTTTGGACGAGATGGCCTTAAAACAACTGTTAAATGAAAAGCAGTGAGAGTTGCAGTGAAGGCAAGGGGTGAAGAGAGAGTGCCTGTAGCTTTTGGTATTTATTTACAAGCTATTATTTTAGTTGGTAAAGACTGCCCCCTAATGGAACAACTCGGAAGGCATAATAATGCACCCCCCACAACTAAACTACTAGGTGTGTTGTTTGAAGAAAATCAGTGCTGTTAAAGTCACTAAAAATAAGAAAAGTAATTGTCTTCTCTTTCTCACTTATGTTTAGACCAGCCAGATATATTTTTCATCAAAGACATATATAATGTTAATTGAATAATCAAAATGTATTGAATCAAAGCTATATCCCTGAATACTACTTATTACAGCAGATAATGCGTGAGGATATCTTACTGAATAGTAATGATTAGGGCTGACAAGTGATTAAAAAACATAACCGTGATTAATCGTGCGATTAAAAAAATTAATCGTGATTAATCGCGCTGTTAAATAATAATAGAGTACCATTTATTTAAATATTTTTGGATGTTTTCTACATTTTCAAATATATTGATTTCAGCTACAACACAGAATAAAAAGTGTACAGTGCTCACTTATATTATTATTTTTATTTCAAATATTTGCACTGTAAAAAACAAAAGAAATAGTATTTTTCGATTCACCTAATACAAATATTATCATGCAATCTCTTTATCATGAAAGGTGAACTTACAAATGTAGAATTATGTACAAAAAATAACTGCATTCAAAAATAAAACAATGTGACACTTAAGAGCCTACAAGTCCACTCAGTCCTACTTCAGCCATACTATTTCTTTTATCATTTTTTACAGTGCAAATATTTGTAATAAAAAAAAATATAAAGTGAGCACTGTACACTTTGTATTCTGTGTTGTAATAGAAATCAATGTATTTGAAAATGTAGAAGAACACCCGAAAAAATTAAATAAATTTCAATTGGTATTCTATTGTTTAACAGTGTGATTAATCACGATTAATTTTTTTGAGTTAATCACGTGAGTTAACTGCGATTAATGGACAGCCCTAGTAATGATAAACTAAAAGTTATGTACTTAGTAAATACATTTTTACAGTTTGTTCTCTTTCTTTAACAGGATAAAAAATATGAATCATAGTGTAAGTTGATATGTGATGCTGACACATTGGGCCAATTCTTTCCTCAGACAAAACTTTTTTTTTGCTTTAGGAGAACGAGGTCCTGAATGTGTAATGTAACATGGTTATATTTCAACGCAGTTCTTAGATTGTATCAAATTAAAATAACAAGCAAACAGAAAAGAGGAACAACAGACAAGAGATAAGCAAGATATTATTTCCCCCTAAACGTAATTACTCCCAGGATCACACCCCTGCATAAACTCCTAAACTATATATGTTATTAATAAATAACCTAGTACTTGAGATACTTTACTGGCATATGGTAAACTACCATGTCTGTTTCAGAGGGGTAGCCCTGTTAGTCTGTATCAGTAAAACCAATGAGGAGTCCTTGTGGCACCTTAGAGACTAACAAATTTATTTGGGCATAAGCTTTTGTTGGCTAAAACCCACTTCATCAGATGCATGGGAGTGGGCCACATCCACCCTAATTGAATTGGGCTCGTTAGCACTGACCCCACACTTGGTAAGGCAACTCCCATCTTTTCATGTGCTGTATATTTATACCTGCTTACTGTATTTTCCACTCCATGCATCTAATGAAGTGGGTTCTAGCCCACGAAAGCTTATGCCCAAATACATTTGTTAGTCTCTAAGGTGCCACAAGGACGCCTCGTTGGTTTTACCATGTCTGTGTTCATCTGTAATGTGGAATATTAATTAATTTATGTACCTGAGATTTTTTGATCTAACTAAGGATTCATTCTGGGAAAAAAGCTCAGATGAGTAACCGTATTCAACTTTACCCCACTGACTCAGTGAGACTCCTTATGGGAGTAAAAATAGAAATTTATGTAAGTTTTGTCATGATCAGATCCTGAAACAATGAAGGCCCAACTCACATGCGGTACTGAGCTCTCATTGACTTCAGCCGGGGTTGCAGATGCTCAGAACTTCTGGGAATTTGGCCATTCTTGTGTATCGCAGTGTCTGTATGGAGAAATGAAAGAGACTTTGTGAATAAATATTCATCCCAGGGATATTGATCAGTATACACCATTAGACTTATAGGAATTCTGTTTGTTCGTTTCCTACTGAAACGGTGGATTGGCAGAGATTGAGTTATTATTGTTACTAAATCAGTGAACTATGACAGTGCTGAATAAAATCTAGCTTACACTCAGAAAAGGAAATTGCATGGGAGGTGGGGGAAGGAGACTTATCATTGATTAACTTGAAAAAAGAAAATTCTTATGAGCCTCTTATGTAAAACATCATGGTATTTATTCACCCTTACTAAAAGGATTGCCCAGTGCTAACGAAACCTTGCAATTGACTTTTAAGGTTAATAGCTAATATCCATTGAATTCTCAGAGTATTGCTATTAGAATAGGGCAAAGTCCAGGAAACTCTTTGGAAAATTGGAAACCTTCTTGGCCACGCATCCAAGGTTGAGAACTTCTTGAACCTTTTCTCCTGGCATATTCCCTTTCTACTTTGTCAGGGACACCAGCTCAACCCTCACCATTAGTTTCCTTCTAACACTCCCCTTTCTGTGCTTTATTCTTTGCTGCTTCTTTCGTTAGGTTATCCCCCAATCTTAGGTGACCTCCCTCTGTCAACTTGCTCCTAAAAACTCTTTCCTGTGTTGCCCACAAGGAGTGTGAGTGTGTGTGTGTGTGTGTGTGTGTGTGTGTGTGTGTGTGTGTGTGTAAAATACAATTAATAAAATAAATAAATGTAATGGAACCTCAGGCGCACATACCAAAAGCAACGATGTGATCTTATTACTGTAACCTTCGCCCGTCCTCACCTCGTTGTTTGTTACTCTCAGTTATTGCGTGACATCAAATGAAACTGACGGGAATCTGCCTGGGTGAAGGGGTCTGCCCAGATGTAATAATTTGCAGAAGAAGGGCCATAGACTGTCAGCTTATTGGGATCATGCTTTTCGTGTCCTGTAAAGGCTCTAACGCACTTTTGGATAGTGCATAATAAATAATAGTGCACACGACATAGTGTACGTAATAAACAGTACCTGCCATGTGTTAATGCACACGTATTGCTTGCAGCATTATCGTCTTTTGTCTCTTGGATTCAATGAATGTTCATCTTGTATAAATAAAACAACTGCTATTCCCCTCTAATAGATGTATCCCTAGGGTTCTGTTCAGGTTTATGTCTTATACACAAGTGGTCAAAGCTCACGCCAGCGCAGGAGATCGCTATAAGTTCTTTCAGACCATTTGAGCCCTGCGCTATGCAGTTTAAGTGGAGGCTTAAGTGGTGCATAGGACTGTTTGTGGGCTCTGCCCTTGAGTGGACGCCATCTATGTTGCCCGGATGGTGCTTCAGTGCAGCAAGACCGATATCTAAGAGGTGCAGTATTGTACTCGTCAAATTCCAAAATGTTTGGCCTATAGAGTACAAAGTTTGGCTGACAATATTTTGAATAGGGACAGAATGGCATCAGGGATTTGTGAAGAGAGACTGCATCTTTAAGGGCCAAATACTCCAATAGTGTAAATTGGTGTAGCTCCATTGACTTCCACGGAGCTACGCTAATTTAGATCAGCTGAAGAATTGGACCTCTGAGCACCAGCCTGATTCTGGCCTTGACTGGCAGGGACCAAGCCTAGTTCCCTGTCAATGTTACTTTCCATTTACAATAACAAATGTCAGTTCAGTAACCTTATGGGGGTGGGAGGAAGTTTTTTGTGTAATCTGGATAAGAGAGGCTCTTACTGTAAATACTACTTTATCATTCAAACTGCATGAAACTCTGACACACGTAGAGTATAAATAAAGGCAGAGAAAGAGCTCTCAGTAGCAATTATCAAACAAATCGAGTGACAGCCTCCCCTCTTAGCCAGAATCATTTGAGTTATTGCATAAAATTATAAAATGTTGCTTTGCATATTTAACGTGTCTGTCTCCTTTTTGTTTTCCTATCCCCAGATCTATTATAAAGTTATTAAAGAAATTGAGCCAGGAGAAGAACTGCTGGTGTATATGAAGGAAGGTGCCTATTCTCTTGGGAACATGCCACCTAGTCTGGAAGGTGAGGCCCTTATTATTCGATACCCCCAGTTGTGAGGTGCAGACAGGTGCTAACAAAAGCACATCCTGTAAGAAATGAAGCCTGCACTGTGCCTGTTCTCTTATGTAACTGCAGCCTGTTCGGAGGTTTTATAGTGATACCTTTTCTCACTGGCTAGGTTGATTGTCTTAGTCAATGAAGTCTGAGCAAACCCTTTTTTTAACTTAAACACAAGCCCAGCTACACTAATGTTAAGGAATGTTGTGGTTTTGAATACTGTAGGGGGCATCTCATTAATTCCCAGGGTGATCGTGGTGGTTTGTTTGCAGTAAAACTGAGCCAAACCATTATGAGACTTGCAAACCATGCTGTGTCTTTAGCTCACATGGCAAATGTGACCAAGGCAAAGTTGGAACAGCCATTGTGCTGTTATAATATCGTAGAATCATCGAATATCAGGGTTGGAAGGGACCTCAGGAGGTCATCTAGTCCAACCCCCGGCTCAAAGCAGGACCAATCCCCAGCTATGGATGGCTCCACAACATCAACTGACATTCAGCTGAACAGTTAGAGTGACAAGCTGCCTGAATTGATCACAAATAAAGTTAACATCTTCATTGCTACGTTGCCCAGCAATGTGTGTCTGTCTTGGCAGCATATTGGAATGGCACGTCAAGGTGCCTGGCACAAACGGGTGAGCAAATTGCTTAGAGGTATATTGCCTTGTGAATTGAGCAGAGCTAGGGGCTAAGCATTTTTATCTAGCTCTTACATTAGCATAATCATTTCCCCCTAAATACATTGATACTAATGATTAAAGTTCAGTAACCACACAGGACATCTAAAGAGCCATTATGCTTTCGTGGAGGAGTGAGTGTTTCATAATAGATACAGCAAGGAAATGTGAGTCAGGACTCCTGGGTTCTGTTTCTGACTATGCCATACACTTGCTATGTGAAATTAAAGGTAACTTGCAAGGGAAAAAACTGAGCTTATGTCCTTTCTCCTCTCTCCCTCCCCCCGCCGCCTTCCCCTTTTTATGAAGTGTAAAGATGGACTGAAATGATTTTTCCAGATCAAAGGGAGAGGGAAGAGGGGTTTCTGTTTGTATTTCATTAGAAATAGAGGTCTTATCTCCAGGGGAATACTCTGTGACTATTGGAGAACTAGTGATATGATGACATCATGAAAACAAAGAGTGAAAATGGAGAAGTTTTTGAAAGGGGAAGGGAAATAGTCAGACTGTTTACAACTTGGGCTTTGGTTTTAGAAGGATTTTTAAAAACTGGCTATTTATATAGGTGGCAAGAATATCAAAATTGTTTTTCTGAAGTCGATGGTGGTAGGCCATGGTCAGAGACAGGGTACCTGGCCAGATGGGCCTTTGGTCTGACCCAGTCTGACAGTTTCTAAGTTCCTATGTTTTGTTTTATTAATACTTATTTAACACAGTAATCAATATTTTGGTAAGAGGATGTGTTCATTAAAGATTCAATATCCCCCCTCCTTTCCCTTAAAGTGATAGAACTCACAATACAAGGGCTGGAAGTGAGTTATGGAAGTGGTCTCCCCGCAAAAACAGGGAAGACCAGACATGCTATTTCTGGTATTGCTAAAGTTAAAAACCTAAACCACAGAAAACTAATTTGAAAATATAATCTTGTAAGCCTCCTTTAAAGAATCAAAAAAGAACACAACCCACCTCTTTAAAAAACCCTTTGTAAGTCACATGTGTAACACTGAAACTAAAGCTAAGCTAACGTGAAGGGCTCTGTGCTTCCCGAACAAAAGTCACTGTTGCTGTGCTAAGAACTAATATATTTTAATGTGCTTTTGAGTTTGGCTCTAATGTGGTGACGATGAAAGTTAAAGACTAATATGAGAGGGAGGGTGACTGATCTCCAGTGAACAATTAGCTGAATTTAGCCAGTCTTTTCTGTTATTGACTGTGAGAATGGTTCATGATTGGTGCAAACTTGTTCATTATTATTTGATGATTGATTTATACAAATCTATTTCATCCTATGGGTTGCTCATGAGCTATTTGCCTATTGCTTTACCTAATCAATATTTGAAAACTAAGGTATTTTGGTTGGACATTCTGGTCACATGCTGGGTTTTGTTCCCTAACTGGTAGATTAATTTAACTCCTCGTTTCAGAATTCTAATGAAAATATTTAGGATTATAAATGTAAACTCCACTTTCTGTGAATATTCTGCAATATTTGTTTGATATTTGCTGTTTCATTGAGTGGTCCTATCAAAAACCTCTTTTGCTAAGGGTATTCTGAAAAAAATGAATGAAAAAAGAGTCCAAACACAAATAATACAAATTAACTGAAGTATTCAGGTTCATGTTTCTGAATAATTGTTTTCAGTATTCTCTCAGAAATACTAATGCTGTTTTTGAGAGCAAGACAGAGATGTGAGTAGTTTCTTCCTCAAAATAATGGCATAAAAACTAAATATAGCCTTGATCATTTGTGTAAAAAAAAAAAAAAAAAAAAAGGAGGGGGGCGGCTTACAAAATCAGGAAGAAAACTCAAAGCTGTTTCATTTAATGTAGGATGATCTGTTTTGCTTCAGAGATTTCATTTTTGGTTTTAATTGACATTTATTTGAACAAGCAAAAACACCTTGTTCCCTATAATACCCCATTGTTGTCATTATATAACATTTATCTGTCATTCTCCCAATAATGTGTCATGCTTTTGCCAGCTAATTGCTTTCAAATTGTAATAGCCCAACATCCAATATTTGTCTTTTTAATACTTTTTCACCTTCAGTAATGATTTCCTCCCCCTGTCCTGCTCCTTCCCTCCTACCCCCCCCCCCATTTAAACTCTGAATTGCACAAGAAAGAAAATGCAAAAATGTTCCACACAAAGATAATTATCATAAAAATCTTTTATCCAAACCCCAGCCGAATGCAGTAGACCCCTTATCACTGCAGGAATTTTGAGTAGGGCTCTTGAACTCCTTTGAGACTTGAGTCTGGTAGATTAGCATGTAGATGCCACATAATTGTGTTCCCCTTGGTTTCTCTGAAAGCTATTAGGCACTGATTTATTTTTCTGTTACATTCCTGCTTTGTCCTGAGTGTTACTGATGGAACTTAAGATAGACGCATATAACCACAGATTTGACAAACAAGACATTGAGCACTGGCAGCAATTTGTTGTTGTTGGATTTTTCTTTTTCTTTCTGCTAAGATATTGAAGTAGGAACCTGTTTTTGAAGGGCACCGTTTTTATGTATTGTGCTTAAAGGGGGAAAAAACCCTTAATGAACCCAAATACCATAAACCGGGAAGTTTGATCTAGTGATAAAGGCACAGCTCTGGGAGTCAGGAGATCTGAGCTTAGTTCTGAGCTTCCTCTGTGACTTGGGATCCACTCCTAGAAGATGCTGAGACTAGCCTTTATCTGTGTTGCAGTTTCTTTCCCTGTAGCAATACACAAGGGTCTCGTGAGCTAAACTCGCTAATGTTTGTAACTATTTGTTTGCTGCAAAACAAGGTGTGCAGGCTGATCCTTGCAATATTGTAGCAACAGTGCCATCTGTCTATCCTACCACCCCCGGATGTATTATGCCTGGGACAAGGATAAGGAAAGGCTGTTCAGGTAGTGCACCAATCCTGCCGCCCAGCTCAGCTCTGTCCCAGAAGAGGCATAATTTAGCCAATAGATGTGTGCTGATGGTGTCTTAAATTTAGCCTGGAAACCCCTTGTGTCACATCGTTCCGTCACATCACATAAAATGTGACAATGTAATTTGATAACTCAGCCCATTCATGATTTTATTTTATAAGAAACAATTTCTTGATGATAGAATAAACACCACGAGTGCTGTAGCTTACACTGCCTTGTCAACCTTCTCTGACATCTGGGTAGCTTCTCTTGCTTCTGTTTACAGTCTCCCTCCCCGGTGACACAAAACATGTCACTTACATATTGGCTCAGTTCTCAAGATCTCTAATAAACATAGTTTCGTCCCCTAAAACTAGAAAAAGGGGGCCCAATCCAGCTTCCACTGAGGCTAAGGGCACTTTGGCCATTGATGTCAACAGTGGCAGAAGAATCAAACCCATATTCTATTATCCATCTAAGCTACTTGAAAAGGGAGGGGGAAAAGTGAAATTTTCACCAATTTTGCCCCTTTTTTCAAAATTGGATCAAAAATGTTTGAATAAAAATTTCATTTTAGAAAATGTTAATTCGCTTCTCTTTGTGTGCCCACCACTCATCGTCCATTTTTCTCATCTTCAGCAAGTCACTTCACTTCTCAGTGTTTCATTTTCCTCCTGTGTCCAATGGGAATGGCGCTACTGACCTCCCTCGCAGAGGTGCTGTGAGAGCAAATTGTTTAGTTCATATCTTAACATTATTTGATGTACGAAGTGCTGTGAGTGGTAATTATTATTTATGATTGATATTGTTTAGTTTCATTACATAGCACTAGGCAGTATTGAAAATTAGGGAGGAGGATTAATATTTGAATCACAAACAAGGAAGCATTAAAAGTCCCTGGATCTGATTGTGACTTCACTTATGTTGGTGTAACTATATTGACTCCAGGGGTGGTCCTCCTGATTTACACCAAATACACTTTCGGGCCTTGTAAAACAAAGACTAGGTGATGCTGATATTTTGTGCAAAAGTTTGTGCTGATTAGCACGTGTACCTTATAGCAAGGATATCAGATAAAAAGTTTGTTATGCATCTTAGAAACACCAGTGCAGGGCAGACAGAGACTCATACAGACAGGGGAGTGAGGGTATAGGAATGTTTCCCATCTTTCACCCGCTCATCTCCTTTCTTATACCACAGATGATCCGGGTCAGAGTTAACAATATTAGCCAAGATCATGAGATTCACTACCAGCTCTATCCTTTTAAAAATAATATTTTTATTATGTCTTTTGAATAATGAGTCTTGCGACAGGCTTTAAATTTGCAGTAAAGCTCTTGAAGTGCAAGAATGAAACTTGAATTGCAAAGAAGACTTTCAGAAATAGAGTGGGGAGTGAGAAAGGGGAGGGAGGGAATCCAGCATAAAGAGACTAAATGGTCATTCAAAAGCTTCTGTTTCAAGCTGACTGCTGGGTGGAGAAACCCCGGATTGTCCCAACTCCCTCACAGAAGTCGTTCTCCTGGAAAATTTACAGCTCTGCGCTGATTGTTTGACTTGGCACTATGGTCAGGATGCTGCCTTGTAAACTTAATAATAGCTGCCCTCTTTTTAATTTGTTTGACCTTGACTACAATAATTTATTATGTGCATTAGGTCTTTTTTTTTTTTAAACAAAGAATTTGGCTCCTTTTTTCTTCACTGCACGGTGCTCTGGTTTCGAACTCCTCCTGCTTCACAGTGCACTGTGGCTGCTACATAACAAGCTTTAAAGGATTGGGGGAAAGGGAATCCCTTGAAAAGTGTGTTCTCCACTTTGCCTTAAAGCAGAGGAGCTTTTCCAAGTAGAAATATAATTATCATCTTTTTACAGGTTTCTTTCTGAGACAAGAATCCTTCTGGTTTGCAAAGCGTTCCTCCCCACCTCTTGGCAGGCCCAGTGGAGGAAACTGCCACAAAGTTATTTGTATTTTTAAAAACACTTAGGGTGACCAGATGTCCCGATTTTATAGGGACAGTCCCGATTTTTGGGTCTTTTTCTTATATAGGCTCCTATTACCTCCACCCCCTGTCCCGATTTTTCACACTTGCTGTCTGGTCACCCTAAAAACACTTAATTGCACAAATAAAAAAGACACCCAAAACCCAACACTGTGTAAATCCAGTAACTCCTGTAGGGGTCAGCAAAAAGCCTCAGCTGAGCTGAGGACAAGAAGCAGATAGGGGAGTTCAAGCTGCTGCTGGTCAAGACACTTTCCTGCAGCAAAGAGCATTCTGAAAGTCATGGTCTCTTCAGGTTGTTTGACTTTTGTAATGACGCCATTCATGCTTGATATTAACTGCACCAGCCCAGTTTATGGATGTGCATTCTGTACCTGCAGCATGCAAACATACTATGTTCCGATTATGTGCAATGTATACCATTTTATTTACAGGCGAAATAGTTGCTCAGAAGAATTGAAATTATTTGGGACTTTCTAATGCTGACGTTGAACTATTTTGTCTTCCTGTTTTTAGAAGAGCACACGTTTCGTTGTGAGGACTGCGATGAACTCTTCCAGTCAAAGCTGGATCTGCGGCGACACAAGAAATATGCCTGCAACTCTGTCAACTCGCTGTATGAGACGCTGAACGAGGAGATCAAACAGGAAGGGTTAGGCGACGGGCAGGTCTATGAGTGCAAAGACTGTGAGAGAATGTTCCCCAATAAATACAGGTATTGCTGAGATAGCAGGAACTCACCTACCTAGTGGGATGTGGAAAGCTAGAAGAAATTATCCAAACACAAAATAGTATTTGGAAGTGGGTGAATCAAGGGGGAGCTGGAGAGCTCAGGGTTGGTACTTGATTGTGGCTTTTCAGCTGTAGGCCACCATTCTGAATATGGCTCCGACCAGGTGTTTTCAGAAAATCACTCGCAATCGGGCAGCTGGTTGGCAGCTCACGTTGAATGAATTTGTGGTCTCAATTCATGCCCTAGGGTCCACTGTCATGATCCATTGACTATTTTCACACTGCCTTAGAAAATCCATCCTAACAGTTGGCTCTGATTGTTGGCCATCTCAGCAACAAGCATGGTGACTGAATTCCACCTCCCCCTTTTCAGGTCAAGACTGAGGCACATTGGCAGGGCTGGTATGATTGTACTGCCTCTCCCTATGCTGTGCTAGTTCTGTGGACAAGCACTGGTGATCAGTTCTGTCAACCCAGCATGAGGACCATTTTAAAAAAGGATATCATTAGGCCCCCTTCCTTCACCATTGAAGTCAATGGGAAAAGGTTCTGTACCAGAGAAACATTGTTGTAGGGCTATAACAGTACCTTTGTCTCCTACTCTATCTTACAGAGGTGATCCAAAAATTTCCATCAAAACAAAACGTTGTTAAAATATATTTTAGTGAAAATTTTCTTTAAAAATATTTTCTGTTTTCCAATCAGTTCTGAAGTGGATGAGAAACAATTCATTGAGAAAAAAAAATGGAATAAAAAAACAGGGTATCTTCAATTTAGTATCTCCTTTTTAGTAGACATTAAAGTATGAGATAACTTCTAGCCCTTTATTATGAATTTTACCGATATATACTAATCCTAGAAGTCTAAATAATAAGATGGGTGAACTAGGGTGCCTCATATTAAATGAGGATGTTGATATAATAGGCATCGCAGAAACTTGATGGAATGAGGATAATCAATGGGACACAGTAATACCAGGGTACAAAATATATCAGAAGGACAGAACAGGTCGTGCTGGTGTGGGAGTGGCACTGCATGTGAAAGAAAGTGTAGAATCAAATGAAGTAAAAGTCTTAAATGAACTAAACTGTACCACAGAATCTCTATGGATAGTAATTCCATGCTTGAATAATTAGAATATAGCAGTAGGGATATATTACCGACCACCTAACCAGGATGGTGATAGTGACTGTGAAATGCTCAGGGAGATTAGAGAGGCTATTAAAATAAAAAACTCAATAATAATGGGGGATTTCAACTATCCCCATACTGACTGGGTACATGCCACCTGAGGATGGGATGCAGAGATAGTTTCTTGACACCTTAAATGACTGCTTCTTGGAGCAGCTTAGTCCTGGAACCCACAAGAGGAGAGGCAAGTCTTGATTTAGTCCTAAGTGCAGCACAGGATCAGGTCCAAGAGGTGAATATAGCTGGACCGCTTGGTAATAGTGACCATAATATAATTAAATTTAACATCCCTGTTGTGGGGCAAACACCACAGTGGCCCAACACGGCAGCATTTAATTTCAGAAAGGGGAACGACACAAAAACGAGGAGGTTAGTGAAACAGAAATTAAAAGGTACAGCACCAAAAGCTGCATGGAAACTTTTTAAAGACACCAGAATAGAGGCTCAACTTCAATGTATCCCCCACATTAAAAAACACAGTAAGAGAAGAGCCACCATGGCTAAACAACAAAGTAAGAGAAGCTGTGAGAGGCAAAAAGGCGTCCTTTAGAAAGTGGAAGTTAAAGCCTAGTGAGGAAAGTAGAAAGGAGCATAAACTCTGGCAAATGAAGTGTAAAAATATAATTAGGAAGGCCAAAAAAGAATTTGGAGAACAGCTAGCCAAAGACTCAAAGAGTAATAGCAAAAACTTTTAAAGTACATCACAAGCAGGAAGCCTGCTAAACAATCAGTGGGGCCACTGGATGATCGAGATGCTAAAGGAGCACTCAGGGGCGATAAGGCCTTTGCAGAGAAACTAAATGAATCCTTTGCCTCAGTCTTCACGGTTGAGGATGTGAGGGAGATTCCCCAACCTGAGACATACTTTTTAGGTGACAAATCTGAGGAACTGTCCCAGATTGAGATGTCATTAAAGGAGGTTTTGGAACAAATTGATAAACTAAACAGTAATAAGTCACCAGGACCAGATGGTATTCACCCAAGAGTTCTAAAGGAACTCAAATGTGAAATTGCAGGACTACTAACTCTAGTCTGTAACCTATCATTTAAATCAGCTTCTGTACCAAATGACTGGAGGATAGCTAATGTGATGCCAATTTTTTAAAAAGGCTCCAGAGGTGACCCTGGCAATTATAGGTCAGTAAGCCTGACTACAGTACCGGGCAAACTGGTTGAAACTATAGTAAGGAACACAATTATCAGACACATAGATTAACATAATTTGTTTGGGAATAGTCAACATGGTTTTTGTAAAGGGAAATCATGCCTCACCAATCTACTAGAATTCTTTGAGGGGAATCAACAAGCATGTGGACAAGGGGGATCCAGTGGATATAGTGTATTTAGATTTCCAGAAAGCCTTTGACATGGTCCCTTACCAAAGGCTCTTAAGCAAAGTAAGCTGTCATGGGATAAGAGGGAAGGTCTTCTCATGGATCGGTAACTGGTTAAAAGATAGGAAACAAAGGGTAGGAATAAATGGTCAGTTTTCAAAATGGAGAGCGGTAAATAGTGGTGTCCCCCAGGGGTCTGTACTGGGCCCAGTCCTATTCAGCATATTCATAAATTATCTGGAAGAAGGGGTAAACAGTGAGGTGGCAAAATTTGCAGATGATACAAAACTACTCAATATAGTTAAGTCCCAGGCAGACTGTGAAGAGCTACAAAAAGGATCTCTCAAAACTGGGTGACTGGGCAACAAAATGGCAGATGAAATTCCATATTGATAAATGCAAAGTAATGCACATTGGAAAATATTAATCCCAACTATACATATCAAATGATGGGGTCTAAATTAGCTTTTACCACTCAAGAAAGAGATCTTGGAGTCACTGTGGCTAGTTCTCTGAAAACATCCACTCAATGTTCAGCAGCAGTCAAAAAAGCGAACAGAATGTTCGGAATCATTTAGAAAGGGATAGATAATGCAGAAAATATCATATTGCCTGTATATAAATCCATGGTACACCCACATCTTGAATACTGCGTGCAGATGTGGTCGCCCCATCTCAAAAAAGATATATTGGAATTGGAAAAGGTTCAGAAAAGGGCAACACAAATTATTAGGAGTATAGAATGGCAGCCATATGAAGAGAGATTAATAAGACTTGAACTTTTCAAGTTGGAAAAGAGATGACTAAAGGGGGTATGATAGAGGTCTATAAAATCATGACTGGTGTGGAGAAGGAAGTGTTATTTACTCCTTCTCATAACACAAGCACTAGGGGTCACCAAATGAAATTAATAGGCAGCAGGTTTAAAACAAACAAAAGGAAGTATTTTTTCACACAATGCACAGTCAACCTGTGGAACTCCTTGCCAGAGGATGTTGTGAAGGCCAAGACTGTAACAGGATTCAAAAAAGAACTAGATAAATTCATGGAGGATAGGTCCATCAATGGCTATTAGCAAAGATGGGCAGGAGTGGTGTCCCAAACCTCTGTTTGCCAGAAGCTGGGAACGGGTGACGGGATGGATCACTTGATGATCACCTGTTCTGTTCATTTCCCCTGGGGCACCTGGCATTGGCCACTGTCAGAAGACAGGATACTGGGCTAGATGGACCTTTGATCTGACCCTGTATGGCTGTTATTATGTACATTGAAGGTTTTAATGAAAATGTGTTAATTACGGAATGCCTATGTGTACATTAAACGGGTCACCTTTTAAAAAAAATAAATAAAAACCCTTTGGCCAGTTAAGCTTCGGCCTTCAGGTATGAGTTTCTTTTCCAAATATATAGTTCCATGCAGAGATTAAATTTAATGCCACTTCTACCTAACTCCTGGGTTCCTAACTTCCTAAGGCTTCTTTTGAAATCCCAGCCACAGGGCCTAATCCTGAGAGGAATAGGTCTGTGGAATTTAATAGACTGACAGAAACTTTCTATCGGGTTTCTTAACCATCCCATAGAATTTAATATAAAATTGTATACCTCCTTTAAAATTCTATAGGGACAGTTTAATAAAACCTACCGAGAGGATTTCATTTTCTGTTAAATTTCAGTGGATCTTATAGTTCTATGGAATTTATCTATACGGCTGAGTGTCGGCAACTCCCACTGATCTATGCTTGAAACCAATGGGAGTTGCAAATGTTCCTCCTTTCTCAGGATCATGGGGTTTACAGGGTGAAAAATTTCCAGCTTTTTTGGTACTTGAGTTGCTAATGGGGTAAATCTTCTTTACCACACTTTACGTTCAAACTCAATAGAGGAATTTCCTGCCCTTCCTACCGATCCCACCACCCATCACATTGGCTTCCCTTTACTGTCACCCCCTGGTTTACTGGCTCAGCAGGAGAGCTGCTTGCTGACACACACACTCAAGATGAAAAGGCAGAGAGAACACTTTGGCATGGGGGAAATACAGCAGCCTACAGCTTTCTCTGAAAAGCTATCTCTGTAATGGCACTATTCCAGCAGCCACTTGGGTTTGCCATCATCGTCCTGGTTTGAGAGAAGCTGCCAGTTGGCAGAAGTTGAAATCACCGAGTTAAGTAATAAAAGATGTCTGACATTTAAAAGTGAAATGTGTTTGCACCTTATCACATTTCTTTCAAATGTTGAGTCCCAGTGTTCTGGGAAGTTATGGGCTTTGTGCCCATGAAAATGGCAATATGATAGGTTCAGCAGCAATAGCTAATATCTTGTCTTTCCTTGCCGGGATCCTGCTGGAGGCTCTGTCACTAGTTTTTTCCCTCGTGGACCTTCAGGATTGGGGTCCATTTTCTCTCTTTTTCACACTAACGGAGTCCATTTTTTGAGTGAGAAAATTCATGAAACATAACTAACTTTGGAGGGTAGAATGGGCCCGTTTTCAAATGTGAAATTAAATGGCAAAAGAAACAGGAAAAAAAGATGATGATTTCCCTAGACACATCCTTCATTGTTAATACGTTGTTCACTTTATTTTAAAAGGATTTTGAAGTCCTGTTATGTGACAAGCACCAGGTCAACTAGTTAGATGTGAAAAAACTGGTTATTGACCTGTTTGTCAACCATCTTTAATCACCACTGTCTCTCTCAAACCTCTTTAGTACCGTGACCCTAAAGAACAGGATTACAGTAACTGTAGCTCCATTGTCAGCAAGTGTCTTGTTCAGCCTGTCCCTAAATTAGAACCAGTGGAGGACTACACTATTCATTGGCTCATGTATTGTGGCTGTGTGCCTGAATTTTCTGCTCTTTCTTTCCTAGCTTGGAGCAGCACATGATCATCCACACTGAGGAGAGGGAGTACAAGTGTGACCAATGTCCAAAGGCTTTCAACTGGAAATCAAACCTGATTCGTCACCAGATGTCACATGACAGTGGCAAACGATTTGAATGTGAAAACTGTGTGAAGGTATGGTTCAGGGCATGATGCAGCGTGGGTTCACAGTGTCATCCAGGAAAAGACCTGGTGAGCTGGAGAAACGACTCAGCGGAAATAATCAAACGCAGTGGCAATCGACATGGTTTTACTTTCTTGAGGAATGACGATTGTAACCATAATTCAGAATAAGGTAACATGAGTAACAGGAAGCAAAGAAAAGACTCCTCAGCCTGGGGTTTAACCCAGTCCTGTAAACTTGGATGTGGAACCCAATCTACCTGCAAGCAACCATTCTCATAGCCTTTTCCCAAGCATTGCAAGGTTCTTTAGATTTCAGGTGAGCACTGTGAAGGATGTGTGTTGTCAGGCAGATAGATTTAGCTATTCAGAAGCAAAACTTTATGTATAAAATTGGAGACACCATAGAGGGTGAGATGAGTTGGGTGCCAGCCGGTTAATGTGATACAAGTCAGCACTAATTGTATTGGCTATCTCTTTGCAGTGCAAGGTGAAAATCCTGCACTGCTGAACTCAGAATCTGTTATCTGCAGAACACTTATGACAAACAACAATAGTCAGCCAACCCTCCCGCCTCTGCCACCGCCACGTTTGTTTCTGTCCCCTAAAAGCATTTTCTCTTTTCTCATTTTCTCAGGTGTTTACTGACCCCAGCAACCTCCAGCGGCACATCCGTTCCCAGCACGTTGGCGCACGAGCCCATGCCTGCCCGGACTGCGGCAAAACCTTTGCCACCTCGTCTGGCCTCAAACAACACAAGCACATTCACAGTACTGTCAAACCTTTCATATGTAAGTTGTCACGGCCATCACAGAATCCTGGCTTTCACTATAATTGCACATATCCTGCGGGGGCCCCCCAGCACTGGCTGTACCTCTGTTGAGCAGCCGCTGTAATTTTATAGGTCAGAGCACAAGATGAAATTCCGCAGCGATTTTTTTTTTTTTTGCATGCTCCTTGTTTTTTCAGTAAACATTCATGGCAGTTTTTGACTTTCTTGACAAGTTAAAAGCTGAGTCTCTCAGCAGTCCCAGCGATGCCATTTTCTCATCTCTTTTCTTTCTCTCTCTTTTTGTAATGGTCCTGTTGGTGACATAAATAAATAGCCTGATAGAAATGTGTTTCTGGGGGGCTTCAAATCATACAATCAGGGTGAAGAATTTGGGAAAGCAGCATACCAGAAAAAAGGCACTTTTAAAAAGCAGTTTTCTTCTTTATTCCCGAGGACTTTAATCCAGGCAATGCTTTGCAACCATTTAAATTGCAAATTAGCTGCATCCTTGTAGTATTCAGAAGGGCGTTTCCAGAGGGATCATTTACCCTGGGAATGCCCGAAAGATCCTCATCTCATTTCTTGTTGCCTTTGGGTTTTTTTTTTTAAATCTATGTCGTTCCCCTTGCACCTTGGTAACTGTGCAGGAAGGTGTATTCTACATCACCAGAAATGTGCACGGGGTCCTCTGGTGGCTACCACTCACCATCTCACAAAAAAAGGGTGGTTGTGTAGTTAAAGCACAAAACAGGATCTCTGTTCAGTTCCTGGCTTTGAGGCTGAGGCCCGATGTTCCATCATGCAAGCCACTGAGCTTCTCTGTACCCCCATTTCCCCAAACGGGAACAGTACACAATGGTAGGTGCGAGGCGAAATTCATTAACGTGCATCGAGCTCATCAGATGGGCGTCAGTGGGGAAATACAAAATCCTGTTGTTACTCATTTGGCTGACTAGAGAGATGATGATGTGATCTTTCACTTAGCAGCTCATGCCAACTGGCACATGAAAGAGGGAGAGAATTTGAATCTCATAATATTTCTACATTGAAATGAACTGTTCCTTCTAACAATCTCTTCACTCTCTTACCGAAGCAATTATGGGTAAAGTGTTCTCCTCATCCATATCAAGGTTCGAACGAGTCTGCCCAGTTCATGTTTGACAAGTGTTAATATTAAATCTGTTAACAACTGGGTAAAAGGTAACAAATGTTGATGGGGCTCTTGGGGACGGGCTGACTATGCTTTAGGGAACTTTGGGCCCAGGGTCCCCTGCAAAACTTTTTCTTTCTGTTTAATAGAAAGTGTTTGCAGTCTTGTGCCTGGATAATAAAGAAAGCTGGTTTTGATGCCTTTATAACTATAAAACCCAGAACAGCAAGTGAGAAGATTCCACGTGGATTTCCAAAATCATTACACCTCTGGGCTTTTAAACGAGTATTTTTAGGCCCTGCTTGACTTGGAATGATGAAATAAACTCTGGTATCTTTAGCGGCACAAAGATGCCTGTTTGCATAACTATGAGGGCGTTGCAGGGACTCTTTAGGGCATGGAAGAATGAAAAAAACAATCCCTTTCTTTGGACCAACTTGCTTTGAATATTACCTTTCATCTTTCCATATGTTTTTTCTGCATGAGATGATTATACTTTGCTTGTTTATTTGCATTATTAAACACATTTACCATAGGGACAATGCTAACCCGCAAACCCAATGTTCAGCCAACAAATGTTTACAAAAATTGCATTTTGTTCTGATGTAATTTTCTAAAGTAGATTAGCTATTTATTATGAATTGTTATGTCTCTTCCAAAACCACAATATAACATCTTTTGGCACATGCTAAAGGAGACATAGTTAAAATTAGAAAGGGGGTAATTTTCCACTGGAAAGAAAAATATACAAACATCTTTTCAATAAATCCAAAAATGTGACATTTCTCCAAAAATTATTAGTAATTTGAGAGGGAGTTATAAATTCACACACATGGAAACACTTGTGTTCACACAGACTCATATATATGCTCTCTTGAATACACACAAACACTCTCAGAGGCCTACAGATGCTCTCCTTGCATACACGCAAGCATGCAGGAAGAAACACTCCTGCACACTAGAACTAAAGAGTCAAAGAGATGCAACTGTCAAAGCCAGGAAATTCAGAGATAAGGATGAATGCTGCATCCTTACCTTGGCCTACCTATTGCAGCATTTTGCAGCATATCTCAGCATATTGATTTCACTGTTCTGAGGCTGCCCAATGACAGGCATGTCTCTTGGACTCAGTAAGAATGAGAGTCAGCGGCAGCTGCTGAAACACAGAGCAAGTTCCTGTAACTTCTTTTTTTATGCAGACTCTGGCAGATCCCCATGTACAAATTCTGGTGTAAAAAAAAAAAAAAAACCATAATTGTTTTCACTTGCCCTAAGTGAAAATAGTTTGGGATTCATTTCCCTTTATACCTTTTTAAAAGTAATAATAAAAAACAAGGAAATAGTTTAAAAAACATAAAATAAAGCAAAGCAACAACCAACCAACCCAAAATCCTCCTTTGAAAATCTTAGTTGAAGAATGTATAGAAAAATCATCATACTATATACACAAGCACAGACTGCCACAGTCCAAGGTGTAAATACTGGAAATTAGGGATGGACTGAACAAGTTTGATAAAATGATCATTTGGCTTTTTAACCTCTTTTGATCCTAAAAAGAAAAATAGATTGCTGTTTGTCCTTTCAGTTCTGCGCTGCCTCTGCACTTCTGAGGGGCATCCAGGGCCAGAAGCGTGAGTGCTGAAATACCATGAGGAGAGACAGTTTTTGTAGTAACGCCACCACAATGAGAACTAGTCTGCGCTTGTGAGATCCTTCTGCATTTTTGGGTGCTCATGTGTACTTAATTGCCAAACTGGTAACATTTCACTGATCATTACTTGAAATCTCAGTAGAACTGGCTTCCTCGTCAGCTTTCCAAGGATGCTTGGATTTGTCTGGGTTGGAAATATTATTAGAACAGCTCCTCTTGCTGTGTTTTGATACTTCCATTCAAGTACTGATGTAAACCAGGAAGATAATAAATTATAGCAAAGGTATCACTTCTAACCCAGGCATAAAGGCCTCTATCACAGAAGGAAGTATTGCCTTGTCCTTAAGCCACAGGACTGGGTGTCAGGAGATCTGGATTCTATTCTTCTTGGCTACTAACTTGTGTAATTCACTTAATCTTGCTCTGCCTCAGTTTCTCTCTTTGTAAAATGGTGATAACAACTCTCTTGTAAAGTCAGCGAAAGCCTTAATTCACTAACAGATGAAATTTATCCCTGTGGTAGGGGCCAGCTGAAAGGCTTTGCACCACTTAAGTCCTGTATATGTGAATGGTGGATAAGGCTTGTGCTGGTAATCTGCACAGGGAGTTAATTTCACCTTTATGCTTACAAGGTGCTTTTGAGGTGCTCAGGTAGAAGGTAAAGTAGAGGTGCTAGGCAGTAATATTATGAAGTGCAGAAGGGACATTTGAAAAAGTTAAACTTCTTTGGACTTGTGAAACAGTTTGGGTTGGGTTTAATTCCTCTTTCCTCAGAACCACCATGCCTGGCCCCTCTAGGGCTGAGTCCTTCTAGGTTAAAGTTGTAGCAAGTCACATTCTGAAAGCCTGGTATTAGAAGTCTGTATGGAAAATGCTGACAGAGCATTAACTCTGCCACTGCTAGGGTGCCCCTATTAATTTAACAAACACAAGATCTCGTCTCATTCCTAGCTGAAGCTGAGACCTGGTTTGAGGAATATTTATAGAATATCCCCGTGGAGCGGTAACTTACTATTAATGGCATTTTAAAAAAATGATAGACTTGATTAAATGAGGCAAAGTTCTTCTCCCTTCAGCCTTGAATACTTCCTGCCATGCCAGACTACAAGGAAAGCAGACTAGCTAATATAAATAGATATTATGATTAAAGTGCATGATTATCTTCATTTAAAATAATAATAATAAAAATCCTTGAGCTAGAATAGCACATTACATCAGGGTTTCTGAAGATTTGCAGGGGAAAAGCTGCAAGTTGAGAGATTTACATCCTTTGGAACTTTTTCACAGGGAAATTTGTTGGTTATTATTTATTATTTGTATTACAGTAACGCTTCCACGTTTCAGCCACAGTTAGGGAGCCTGTTGTGTTTGTACAGCTCCCAGCACACAGTAAGAGACAGACCTTGCCCCCAGAAGCTTATATTCTAAATAGACAAGGCAGACAAAAGGAGAATTATTATCCCCATTTTATAAATGGCAAGCTGAAGCTCAAGGATATTAAGTGATTTGCTTAAGGTCATGCAGAGTCTCTGAGGTAGAACCAGTAGCTGAAGGCAGATCTGACAGACCAGTGGCTTACCCACAAGCCTGCTCTTCCTCATTTGTTTATGGGAAAAGAGGGGTTAGGTGAAGAGGGGGGAGAGAAACACCCATGAAGCTGCTCATCCCAGGATCGAAGCAATTTCATATTAATTTCATATTGTTTTTGTTTTTGGTTTCTGTTGATGCTTTAGGTGAGGTCTGCCACAAATCCTACACGCAGTTCTCCAACCTCTGCCGCCACAAGCGGATGCACGCGGACTGTCGCACCCAGATCAAATGCAAGGACTGCGGCCAGATGTTCAGCACTACCTCCTCTCTCAACAAGCACCGGCGCTTCTGCGAGGGCAAGAACCATTACAATCCAGGGGGGATTTTTGCCCCTGGCCTACCTTTAACGCCCACCTCCATGATGGACAAATCCAAACCCTCACCCAACCTCAACCATGCCAGCCTGGGTTTCAATGATTACTTCCCATCCCGACCTCACCCCGGGGGTATTCCATTCTCGCCTGCTCCCCCAGCATTTCCTGCCCTTTCTCCAGGATTCCCAGGGATTTTTCCTCCCTCTCTATACCCCAGGCCCCCTTTGTTGCCTCCCACCCCGCTGCTCAAGAGTCCCCTCAACCACACCCAAGACGCAAAGCTTCCAAGCCCCCTGGGGAACCCGGCACTGCCTCTGATTTCTGCAGTGAGCAACAGCAACCAGCCCATCTCAGGGGAGGAGAAATTCAAAAGCAGCCTGGAAAACTCCTACCTGGACAAGCTAAAAGCCAGGAACAGCGACATGTCTGATGGGAGCGACTTCGAGGATGTCAACACGACCACAGGCACAGACCTCGACACCACCACTGGCACTGGCTCTGACCTGGAGAGCGACGCGGAGAGTGACAGGGACAAAATGAAAGACAAAAGCAAACAGACTGAGAACAAGCCAGATTTTGTCAGCAGTTCTGTGTCCACCAGTTCCACCAACAATGTGAACGAGCTCCCCCTTTTCTATTCTCAGCACTCCTTCTTCCCTCCCCCAGAAGAGCAGCTGCTACCCACAACGGGGGCAGCCAATGACTCTATAAAAGCTATTGCCTCTATTGCAGAGAAATATTTCGGCCCTGGCTTTATGGGAATGCAGGAGAAGAAGATCGGTTCCCTCCCATATCACTCCATGTTCCCATTTCAGTTCCTCCCCAATTTTCCCCATTCACTGTATCCTTTTACGGACCGGACCCTCAATCACAACTTGCTGGTCAAGGCAGAACCAAAGTCACCCAGGGACCTTCACAAAGTGGGGAGCACCAGCTCAGAGTCTCCCTTTGATCTCACCACAAAACCAAAAGAGATTAAGCCAATCTTGCCACCACCCAAGGTCTTGCCAGCCCCATCTTCTGGGGAGGAACAGCCACTGGATCTAAGCATCGGCAACCGCATCCGAGCCAGCCAGAACGGAGGGAGGGAGCCCCGAAAAAACCACATCTATGGGGAAAGGAAACTAATGGCCAGTGAAGTACTACCCAAGATTTCTCAGTCTCAGCTCCATCAGCAGCCATCCCTGCATTATGCTAAGCCATCACCCTTTTTCATGGACCCCATATACAGGTATTAACATACCCTGCCTTAATCATTTCTTCCAACAGGCTCATTTCGAAGGTGGGGTTCATGACTTAAGGCAGATCGTGATGTGAGGGGTTGCTGGAAACAGGGCCGGCTCCAGGCACCAGCCTGGCAAGCAGGTGCTTGGGACGGCCACTCCGGAGAGGGGCAGCAGGTCCAGCTATTCGGCGACAATTCAGCGGACGGTCCCTCACTCCCGCTCGGAGCGAAGGACCTTCTGCCGAATTGCCGCTGCAGATCGCGATCGCAGTTTTTTTTTTTTTGGCTGCTTGGGGCGGCCAAAGCCCTGGAGCCGGCCCTGGCTGGAAAGAAGAGAATAATGATTCAGTAAAAGCATGCTACATTTGATTGTAGTTGCCCTCTTTTGTTAAAGCAGTTAGAGATTTATGAATGAAAAGGGCTGTATAACTGAAAAGAATAATCATTGATGTTATCCAGAGGGATACATTTATGTAGGGAAAGGGACATATTCCTATTTCAACAAGGAGCATGGCCCATTTAAGAAACCTCCTAGCCAACAGTAAGATGGCATCTCATGTTGGGTGAATTCCAAAGAGTTTGATTCAGATAAGAATGCAACAGTTCTGAAGTATGTCAGAACCTTTACTCTCGTGAGTTGAGAATGACTCTGTGTTTCCCACCTCAGTGCCAGCAATATCCCTGGTATCTTCCTGCTGTACCATGGTACTTCAATCATTGTGGAGTGGCAAATACTAATTTTTAGCACCCGCAGTAAGTTGGTGCATTAGATTTGTGATCTAGGCACCAAATCAGACACTTACAGTTAAAATGGGTATCGGGGCCACCTAAGTGTCCATTTCAGTATGCAAATGATGGATTTGGGCTTTCAGCTTCCGTTTTCCAGATTGGCTCCACAGGTTTAGTGGTTTGTCTCTATATTGCTTCCTGCATGGAAATTGGAGCATCCAATACATGGCTATGTACCTGCACTGGTCCTCCAAGAAGAGGTGGTGAGGAAAACGGAGTCGAGTACTAGCCCAGTCTCAGACCGTTATCGGGCACACTCTTAGAGTTGGAGCTTGGCAATCCTTTTAATGGAAGGGATTCAAAGTTCTGCTGGCATGAGGGTCCCAGAGCACTTTGTCCATGTGCTCAGGGGGGTGCACACAGTAATGGAAGGGTAGCCCAGGCAAACACCTGCTATTCACTGCCTTGCTACTATTGCATGGCTGATAAGTGTGGGAAAAAATGATGTCAATGTCTAACTAGGCCAAAGAGCTGTCAGCTAAGATGAGGATTAGTGAGCCCTCATTGCTTTGCTGTTAAGAAAGCCCCAGTCTCTTCGCCAGCACTTTCAGGACTGATACTGCGTTGCTTACTTACATGCTTACTGTCTGGGGTGGAAAGAAGGCTGCTCCACAACCTGGGACATATAATATATTCTGTCTGGCACCTATCATGATCATCCTTCTCTAGAAAAATAAGTGATGATGTAAATAGTCCAGTGTTTATTTTTGTAAAAATATGTCTGGACAATAAATAACGTGGATTGGGTGGGAGCTGAGAATCAGTTTAGTATTCCACCACCTCTGGGTATTCTCAGAAGGAATGCTAAAATAACAAAGGTTGAAAAAAGCACTTGCCAGTTAAAATAGTAGGCTCGGGAAAACTGTAAAGGACCAGAAGACAGGCGTAAGTGAAGGATGAGGGTGTCATTTGCTGCATTCCATGGGATGCAAATAGTTTTAGTAAGATATTAAAATAGAAAGTCAGTGGTGGAGTCACTTGCAAATCAGACTTCTGATGTAATGAGCTAAACAGCGACGGTTCCAAGTCCTAGCTTGAAAAAATATGGAAATATTTTGTTTCTAAACTTTATCAGACTCTCTCACATCATTTGGCTCCTCTTTTTTTTGCTTCCCCCCCTCCACCTCCCCCCCCAAGGCAGCTTAAGTCCTTGACATTTTCTCTTGGTGATATAATTTAATGCAGCCAGACAGCCTGAAATCAGTGCAATTTTCAACTCAGCCTTGTTAAGGTAATGTTCTCAGGCACTGGGCTGAAAAGATCAGCGTAATCCTTTAGTCACTGTGGAATTTGGCTCTGACGGGGAGATCTGCCCTTTACTGTGTTCAGTGCTTGGCATTGGAAGGTGCCAGAGCTGAGCAGAGTGTGATATTGCTTCACCCAGGGCCTCATGTGAACGGTTTTTTAAATTTTTTTGATACAGGTTGGGTTGTTTCATGGGAAACCTTCTAGGCAGCTCAAGAAGGTACTTCCCCGAATGAATACATCATGGCTAATTTCAGCCCTTCCTGGAGGAAGGAAGGCTGAGTTGGCTGCACCATTATTAGCTGCAGTTTAATATATCTGCCATTTTACACTTGATCAATTTGAAATTTACTTCTACAATTTGTCTTTTTTAAGCAAAAATGACTCAGTTCATGATTTTTATGTCCAAATCACTAAAAAATAAATAATAATAATAATTGGGACTAAGTTTCAGATCCTCTTTTTCTCTAGAAAGAGTAGCTTCAAATTAAATTAATACACTAAATAGCACTGTGCAAGAACTTTGCCCCTCATTTGGATTAAACTCTGTTGTCAATTTAAACTATGTCCCAAGCGGCTGAGATGTAACAGCAGATTTTGTTTTCATTTATACTGGAGAAATGTAATTAAGGTCACGATGATAACGCTGGATTTTCACTGGTGTAACGGAAGTAGAATCTAGTCCAAGGTTTGAAAGATGCAGCTGCATTCCTTGGAGTTATTTTCCAGAACATTATTCCCCCAGCAAACGGTCTAGTTCACACTTTTGCTGGATGACTTCACCGCATGGTTTCACTGCAAATCGATGATGCAATGACATTAAGGCCAATGTTTTGAAAAATAGGAGCCTAAAGTTGGGCTCCTAAATCCATATTTAGGTGTTTAAACCTGAGATTTTCAAAAGAGCCTAAGTAACCTCAGTGGGGTTGTGCTCCTAAGTCACTTAGGCATTTTGGAAAACCCAACTCTTAGGCGCCTAAATGTAGATTTAGGGCTTTCTTACATGGGGAAGAAGCCCACAGTAGTTAGTGCATGTGGGCATCAGCTACTCTGCATTAACTTCCTGTGTGAACACTCTTATTATGCCCGAAGAGCATCTTTGTGTGGATCAGCTTAATGCACTTTGGAAGTGTGTTAAACTAAACTGCCTGAGGGCAGCCTCAGTGAGCATTAAGAGTGTCCACACAGGGAGTTAGTTCAGAGAAGCTAGTGCTCTTTAAATTCACACCCTAGCTCCCTGCACACGAACTTCCCTGTGTAGATATACCCTTAGGAGCCAAAGTGTCAGCTCGAATTTTTGAAAATTTTGGTCATAGGCATTTACCAAACAAAGCCAATGTAAAGTATACCTAAGCTTTGCGGGAGAGGAAATAAATACAAAACACCTAATTATTTCAGCTGGATTTTTGCACACTTTGGCGCTGCAGAATCAGGCCCAGCATGAACCATAAGATGAAGACAAACTGGGGCAAAGGTCGTTCCTTGCTATGGCTGCCACAGACTCAGTAGCTTCTCTGTCTTGCACTTAGCTATTGCAGCACATGTGGTTTTGAATCAGAACATTCCACAACAGCGATGAACCTTTTAGGGTACAGGTGGCATATCTGTGCAGCAAAGGCACCAGGACACTCCTGCATGGGCACATCTAACCCTTTTGTTCATCACTAGTACAGCAGCTGTGGTGTGTGTTGTAAAGTATCACCCAAAATATAAAGCATGGGCTTAGCCTGTTCTTTCAAAGAACTGCTGTCTGTGTGCTTTATGGGATCCCATTTGTGATTCCCATGTAAAGGGGTGATAAGGTGTGTTTATTACCAGAAACAGTCTTTAAATGCATTTCAACTGCTCTACAAATGACTTCTTGTTATTAGCTTTCTTCCCTGTTTACAGCCCTGTAGGGTATGTAACCCTCTGTGTTGTTGTCCAGCAGGGTGGAGAAGCGGAAGGTGACAGACCCAGTGGGTGCCCTAAAGGAGAAGTACTTGCGACCTTCCCCGCTGCTTTTTCACCCGCAGGTAAAACCAGGAGAACCACAATACAGTGTTGATAGGATGCCAAGAAATTAGAGATGGAGATGTGACATTTAAGTCACCTTGTTCGTACCTCCCTGATTGAACCCTACAGTATTTTCCAGCACTCATTTTTAAAGCAAAGTAATTTCATACCCAATTTTAGCATGGTCCTTTAATACTAACCAAATTCATCTTGCCAAGGTCCAGGTGAGAAAGGGCTGGGCAGCTCACAAGGGCCCGTCTAACCTCTTGCTTCCCTCTCTTCCAAAATGCAGGTCTAATTCTTCATTGCCCTGCACTTTGTGCAGTAGTTTAAACCAGTGCAAAGTGGGAGTAGGAGGCTACAAAGCCAATCAGAACAGTAGCATTGTACAGTGCTCAGTTTACACCCCCATAACTATTGCACCAGTTGCAGGGCAGTGGAGAATCAGGCCTTCCTGATACAGTTAGTTCAAGAATGTATTTGCTACTAAGAACAAGATTGTGCCCCACCTCCCTTGAGCCCCTGCACAACCATCGGGCACCATTACAGTCCCTGGGCTCCCAAGCTCAGAGGGGACTGTACTCCTGAGGGAATTCTGTGCCTAAAAATTAAAAATTCTGTGCACAATATTTTAAAATTCTGCAAATTTTATTTGTCAAAATAACTCTACATAATCACGCCAGTTTCAATTATTTTGGTAATTTATTTCAAAATACCTGTCAGCAAGTATGTCTGTAACAATACAGACACGCACAAAATTTCCCCCAGTAGTAGAGAGTTAAAGAAACCCCTATGACAACCCAGTCCCTGTTTCTCTGCCCCCTTCCCCACCCAGAGCCCAGCCAGGGGAGCAGACACCCACAACCCCTCCCGCCCAAACCCACCTGCAGAGCCTCCTCCAGCCAATACACCCGGAGTCCCCATGGGGCCCCCAGCCCAGATACCCACACCCCTCCCCCCAGAACCCAGCTGTGGGCCCCCATTTTCCAGACACCCAGCCCCCTCCCCCGCAAAGCCCAGGGATCCAAAGGGAGAAAAAGCCTGATGCTCAGTCCGGGGCTTGCACAGAGTTTTCCACGTGCCTCCCTCGCCTTCCCTCAGGGCATGCTGGGAACTGCAGCTGCCGGGAACCCCCTAGCTCCCTCTCCACCGCACACCCCCGGCAGTATTTTCTATGTGCGCACTGGGTTCTGCCAAGTCCAGCACCCCCTAGTGGCGGCTAGCAGCACTGCCGCTCATTTCTCTAGGGGAAAGGAAATTCTGCGCGCACAACGTTAATTTCTGCAAAATTCTGCATTGCGCAGTGGCGCAGAATTCCCCCAGGAGTAATCTGTGCCTCATTAAGGTGCAAGACATCTCAAATGGAGGGGGAGGAAGAGGGCCAACCCCCCCAAGCAGGGGCTAGCAAAGTCAGCCACTTGCGGAACCCTGTGTTGGGTGTAGCAGTGGGCCCTGTGTGCAGAACTGTGCTTACAAGGCATGACTAAGCCTTAACCCCAAAGTGACTGTCAGTGAAAATCAGGCCCATGTAAAACTCATTGGCTAAGTACAAACTAAAACCTCCATCATTTAGCATTACTCTGATGCTCTGTGTGACTCATTGCTCCTTTAGAGATAATACAGTCAACTCTGCCATGCTGCCATACTGTCCTTTTCTATGTGATAGCCACCGGCTCCCCTCATTTGCTCTCTCCAAACGCTCTATGAGCTGAGCTCTGTGGTCACTATTGTAGTCTCATTTATATTTACGTGCATTGTTCTCTTCTGACAGCATTTCCCACCTTGGATAAATAACCCACGGGTTTGTGAAAGCTGGATACTGGCTGCTTTCACGGCTAAACTTAGTTCCTTCATTGTTTCGCATCAGCCCGAGAGTTTGGTTAATAACTTCCCCTGATTTTTCCTTCAAGCTAGCTGGATAATAGCGACAGGCTGGTCAGGAACATCCTGTGTTTGTGTGAATTAGAATAGTGGGGATATCTGCCTGTAAAGGATCTGATAGCAGGGAGGAGCTACTAAGGGAAAGCCGGGGTCCAGCAAGACGGTGAGAAATTTACAAGCCCCGAATAAGAGCAGGCATTGGATGGAAGGCTATTCACATTGTTCATGAAGTCCAGACCCCCTCCTCTTCCCATGGAAAAAAAAAGATATGGAAGGCCTGGTTATCTCTAATAGCTTATTACACAAAATAGTCTAAAACCTAAATATCACTCAGTCTGAAACTTCCTGATAACGACTTTTTAAAAAGTACAATAGGTTCCTGTACAAAGGATATTTAATCTTGAGCTGTAAATTCATTCTGATCGGAATAATTAAATGACCATACTGTTCCCATGTTATGTAGTTAATCTGATCATATAGATAAAAGCGTCTTCTCTGTCTGCTTCCATCTAGAGTTGTGTGGAATTCATCCATACTGTCCACCCGTTTAATGTCAGGGATGTTGTTTGCCTAAATCCCAACATTAAAGGGTTTTTATATGTCTTTGTCTGTGCTTTTCTTACAGCCCATATTAATCTAGATGCACGTGTGTATTTATTTCAGTATTTCTCTGAACTGGAACCCAACTGAGAAATGAATGGATTTCACTCCTACTGTAGGTCCGGATCCTGCAGCCATTCCGGATGTGAATAGTCCCATTGACCTTTTGGGAAGTTCTGGGTAGTGTAGCCTTTAGAACAGAGCCCTAATCTGTGGTTTACACACTGAACATTCGAAAGGCATTTCTCCCTTAAAGCCAAATGAACTCCACACAGCTCTAGTTTCTCATCCAGGATTTCTCTGCAGCCCCTCTCCAATGATTTCAGTTAGTCTGACTTGGTCTATTTTAAACGAACCTCTAAACAACATAAATAAATGGTATGACTTCATGATTACTTAATGGCAAACCCTTTCCCACCTGTTAACTTTCTTTTCTTCTTCCTTTCTTTTTTATTATCCCAGTCACTTGTTCCCTAAATAACAAAGCACCTCTACCACTAGAGAGGCTATGACCCGTGTTTAGAATTTTAAAATAAGCCCACAGCTGTCATGCTAGCAAACATCTCTGACTAAGTGCCTAAAGAACAGGGCACAACAAAAGATATCTCCAGGTATTCCAGCAAAGGACAAAGTGACATGGCTCTAAAAGATCCGGATAGCATTTTAACATGATGGTTTTGTTACATGACTGGCAGCTAGGGCAGGACTTTTGCTGTAAATGCTCAAGTAACCTTTTCAAATGGCTGGTGCTAAGTGTTACTTACTATTTATCATAGGCTGTGAGTCTCCAGCTAACGGGCTGTGGCTCTATTAACGAGAAATGGCTTTACTGTTCCTCTTTTTTTAAGGTTTATGGCTGGTCGTCAAACAATATCTTGGCTCTCATTCCCCCCAACCCAGTTTAATATAGTGTAAACGTGCAAAAGGTCACCCCTTCCTGTACACTAGAGCATCTAGGTCTTGATATATGGCTTCCTACTCCCTTCCGCTCACTCACTGTCTCCCCTGCTCTGCGGCTGGCTCTCCAGCTCACAGGATCCCACTGCCCCCATCACTCACTTTTTCTTTATGATGTAATCTGCAGCGAGGAGGCAGTTTTATTGCTTGCTTGTTTGTTTCACCCAAATTTTCAGTTTGGTGTCTTGAAAGAATCCTCATGAGTGGGGAAACGAATGTTAATAATGTTGGCCAGTTCCTCTAAATTGAATTTCTCCCTGGGATTTCCTGCATGAGCGTTTTGATTCTAATGAAAGTAACAACGTTTCATTTTGCTTTTTTCCATATTTATTTTTGCATGTGACTGGATTTATTTGCTGTCCCCTGGGTCTGTTTATCCATCACACTTTGGTCATTTAATCCAATGAATAGGTGCTGGAACTAGGCTTGAAGTGGTTTCCATCATACACAGGGTTTACAGTTTGGTTTAATGGCTCTCAGCACCCCCACGATACAAATTGTTCCAGCGCCCCGATCCCATTCCCGGATGATCTGACAGCCATTGTCGAATCAGCTTCCATAAATCCTAGAAATTACTGGTGATAAGGACCCGTTAGTATTGTGCATCCCTGCTCATGCACCTTCTTCATAGAGCAGTGACCATTGCGGGCTGGGAGGGCCCCGGAGCTTGGGCTGCGGCCTGTGCCCGAATGTCTACACTGCAATTAAACCACCCTTTAGCCCGAGCCCTGCAAGCCTGAGTCAGCTGGCACAGGCCAGTCACAGATGTCTAATTGCAGTGTAGACATACACTGTGTCATGCCACTGTGACTTTCTGAATCCTCCAACCCTGCATCCCCTCCCCGCACCTCCCCATTCTGTAGGTTTTTAAAACATGTAGTTTATGGCCTCTCTAAACCCTCACTCTCTCAACTGCAAGGAGCCCAGAATATTTTGGCTGGAATTCTCTTCCACTCCAGGAAATGGGCCCATATCACACCCACCCCTTCATCGCCTTTACTGGCTTCCTAGCCTTCTTTGTGTCTAATTAAAACATTGCCCTCTTAGCTTTCAAAACTCTCTGGGGGACTCACCCCATCCTAGCTCTGACCTCACATCCACCTACTCCCTGTCTGCTCTCTTCACTCCTCCAAGCTCAGCCTCGTCTCTGTCCCTTCTCCATGGCTGGCAATCACTCCTTCACTTGTTCTCTTTCCCCCTCCATACATCTAGAATTCTCCTGCCTCCTCCCTGTGAGCCACTTCCAGTCTGAAACCTTCCTTTCCTCTTCACGCGGGGGTTGTCTGTCTCTCCCTCTCCCTCTGAAGTCCTTGGTGAGACTGTAAATGTAGTGGATGCTCTGTTAAAAACGAAATGCTGTATGCTACATTCCCAGCCTGTGTTTGTTTTGTGTTTGAGGGAAGTGTTTGCTCTACAACTTGTGCATTCAACACTTTTATCTAGTTTCACCGCCACGGCCCTGAGCCTCATTTAGATAGGGGGAGAGAGAAGCCAAGTGCGTTCTGAGGTTGTTATTAATGCCAAAAGTCAACATATGGGCATAGCAGACGATAGAAATGTGCCTGATACAGCTTCTAAATTCTGATGCTTATTGCACACCCAAGCTTGGCTTTATCAGCTGAATCTTCGGCTGATTTCTCAGAGCCTGGTTAATTATTTCCAAGGGCATTGATTGGGTTTAAGTGAATCTATTTTACTCTGTTGAGCTGGCTTCTGAGGGTGTGAGCTAGAGCCTGCAGTAGCCTCGGAAACACACAGTACAGCTGAGAAACATGTTCTGTGCCTCCGGCGTTCTTCTTTCAGTGGCTTTTAATAACACGACTTCTCTACTTGTACAAACAGATGTCAGCCATAGAAACTATGACGGAGAAACTGGAGAGTTTTGCGGCCATGAAAGCAGACACCAGCACATCCCTGCAGCCCCTCCCACATCACTCCTTCAACTTCCGGTCCCCGCCCCCTACGCTGTCAGACCCCATCCTGCGCAAGGGCAAGGAGCGCTATACCTGCAGGTAAAGGACAGGCACTGCCAGTAGAACTAACCCGAGATGCTCCGTTTGGGAGTTTGGTTCCATACTTGTTAAGGCAACATCCAATACAGACATGTTATAGGGCACGTGGAGAAAAGATACACAGAGCAGAATCTGAGAGGAGGATTCTGGTGACACATTAATTCTAAAACTGTTTGTTTTTGTTTGAAGAAAATTCAGCATCCTCCTTTTACCTATAACCTTAATCTAGCAATTCTCAGGCCAAAGAGAATTTTCTAAAGCAAATTTATTTGTGGGGGAAGGACGGCTAAAATAAGGCTTTATAATGCAAGCTCATTGTAGCCTCAACAATCCGAAACTTTGCCACTTAAAATGATATTTTATGCAGCAATATGTCAAATGTAGGCATAGTCACAAAAATATTTCTGGATCCATTCCATCTGCAAAACCCCATATCTGAGCATGCATACTGAGTAATAATAATCTGCGTCTACACACCCATATTTTTATGTGCAATTACCAATTCTCATTGCATTTTTGGGAGGGTGGATGCATCCATTTTGTCCACAATTGACATCTAGTCTTTAGTCCGAGATTTTACTTAGGTATTCAGAAATCCCGGGATTCTATTATTCCTCATGTAAATCCATGCTGGTTCATGTTCCCCACATGGAAACATTAACTGTCAGGTTTTGCAGTGGCAGAATTTTAAAGCTTTATTTGTTGTTATCATGGTGCATTCTCTGTGTGTAAATATATCCACTCCTCCTTTTGTGTTTATTGTGAAATCCAGTTCCCTTTCTTATTTTCCTGCTTTCTGGTCTCTTACCACTTCCTAAAGCTGAACCACCTGGTTTGAAGCAGATGGTCGCACCTGCAGTAGTTCTTCCAGACAATGGTAATTTATAGTCATGTAATGATGGGTATTTGATCCTGCTTTCCTGTTCATTCTCAGCATTTGAGCATAACCAATTGTCTTTTGCCCTTTTCCTTTTAGTTTGCATCTTAAATACAATTGATTGTACCAGCTTCTCCTGCACTTTAATAGTGTGTTGTTGCACAGGTCATTTGAGAAAGGATAATGTTCTCATTTGAGAATGTTACCAAAATAAGTGACAGAGAGGGATAGAGAATAGGGGGTTATGAAGTGGCCTTGTATTGCAGAGCAGTAAGGCACTCACGGTTACTTTGACTTTTGCCTTCCTAGGTACTGCGGTAAGATCTTCCCCCGGTCAGCGAATCTGACAAGGCATCTTCGGACACACACAGGAGAACAACCCTACAGGTGATACTCTTGCCCAGACAATATCCCTTCTCTTCATGTTGAGAGCCTGGTTCACCACTATGCCATTCCATTGATTTCAATAACGTTAGCCCTGCACAATACTGTAGTAACGTTGTATTACACATAGTGATTAACTCTCTCATTAACCATTCACTTCAATGAAAGCTGAAGACTGTCTCCAACGGTTTTGTAGGGGGTCTTGGTGAGCTAGCTGTTGGGTTTAGCCAGATTAGTTTTCTTTTAATGTTTGCCACAGATGCCTTGAATAACAGATTATTGAGCCTTTCTTGTATATCTTGTTTGAAATCTAAATAAGTACATAAATATGAACTTAGTCAGTTTGAAAGTATTGGTTATCATAAGCAAAGCGCCTGATTTTCACACTTCAGCCTGCACTTGTGTGTGCACAAAATGGCACATGTGCAAACCCACACACACCCTTTTTATACCTGTTTGCCCCGGCACATTCAAGGGCTAGAAACTTTGTACACAAAATCCACTTGGTGCAAATGTTTGAAAATTTAGTAGAGCTAATTGGAAAATTTATATTTTTCACTGAAAAATGATGGTGGGAAAATTTGCCAAACTTTTTTTCCTTTCAATTTTCCAATTAGTTTTATTGGTTGCTCACAAAAATTTAGAAAAAAAATGTTTGTAGGCATATGTACATGCAAAACTGAGCTCACACAAGCGAAGGACAAGTTGTGTCCTCACCAAGGTTTATCATAATATTTATCAGAATTCTCAGAACAAGCCTTGGTTACTGTTATTGAGGCTTATCATTAATATCAACAATTCAGGTAACTTTCATTGTTGTGATGGTGGGTTAGTAATTAATACCAAGGGGTATCTCTATGCTAACTACAGAGACCTGTGATGTTGACCATATAAAGGCAAACATAAACAATTTTAGGAACAGCAAAAGGCCATCTGGTCAAACATACTGGACATTTTTGGTGGTTTAGCTTAACTTAATGAAGTCACTTTTCCCCCTTATTTAAACCTTTCCAGAAGAGTTAAATTTTGATTGTAAGCATTAAATAAAGAATTATTTGTAAGGCCTCTCTAAAATGGTATATATTTTGTAACCACTCACTATTCTTCTAATTCTTCAATTTCATTATTTGATACGAAGTGAATGAATACTGATATTCACTCCGCACCCTTGTTTCACCAAAATGCACCCTCCCGGTTACGCACAGATTGTGAGTCCAGTTTTCTTCCAAAAAAGGAGACATGCAACCTAACAAAGGTTAGGAAAATAAAGATTTATTTGATCTGGTCTTCTCCCAGAAAATGAGCTCTGTGTGTGTTTTTTTGTAATAGAGGTTTGACTTCTGGACAATGTTGCATTGGAATAGTACTCCTGAGAGTTAGTGCTATGTTTACAGAAGACTTTAATTATCATTGATTTTCTTTTGCTCTCTGAGAACTGCGATTTCCAACTTTAGCAACAATAATTGTTTTGAAAGCTTTTTTAGCAAACATTGACTTTGTCTGGGTAAAGGGACCTGGCTGATTCTCAGGATTTTTTTGTTCTTGTTGTTGCAACTTTTCTTTTGACTCTTTAAGCAGTTCCCGTGTTCACGCTTGTAATTTGGAAGATTATTCAAACTCACATGTGCACAAACATGAACAAAACCACCTACATGAAACACAGACCCAGAGATACAAATGTACATGCCTGAATACAGAAGCAGTATTGTTAGAGCAGGAATTAGCAAACTGGGAGACGTAGGTTCTGTTACTGACTGCCACTGATAAACTGTCTCACCTTTGGCAAGTCACTTTACCTGTGTGTGTCTTAGTTTCCCCATCTGTAAACTGGAAAAAATACATTACATTATGGGGGTTAATTAACTAAAGTTTGTACAATGTTTTGAAAATTTAAAGTGCTACTTATTTTGTTACTGAGCCACACTCACTAGTGTACTATACATAAGTATTTAAAAGCAAAATGGTTAAAGATGATTTGACTGTATCATGACGTGTGCACATCTTTGTGATACAGTGGATTTAGGAGGCATTCTTTCCTATTTACAGTTCTTTTCCCCCATCTGGTCTAAAATTCAACAGTATGTTTCAGAACTCAAGAATAAAACAAAGCAATCAAACTTAACTATTTCAATTTCCTTCAGAGGAGGACAAAATAAGTTTGGCTTGTTGTGAAATAATGTCAGATTTCTCTGGCTACTCAGGTAGTAAAAAAACAGGACTCTGTCATCCTTCTCCATGAACTGCAAAGCAAGATTCAGAAGAAGCAGGTTTTTTTAATGACCCTCTTACTGTTTAAAACGCAGAAATACAAGGGTGTTTTGTGGGGGCTTTCCCCCTCCTGCTTTGAAACTACATAAAACCAGAATCAAGAACAAGCAAAGGCCATTTGGTTCAACAAGGCTTATTCCCTCCTTCAAAAGTCCATTCCCTCCAGGATGCCATCTAATTGATTCTTGAATTACACCCAATCCTGGAGCCTTAGCAACCTTGCCTGTTACGCTGTTCCCTAGATCTGTGATTCTTTCTATAAAGATGTGCTTCCTGACGTCTGTTTTGAATTTGTTTTTCTTTAATTTCCTTTTCGGCCCCCATGTCCTGTTGTCTGCACTAAGTTGAAACTAACAACTACAGCTGACATTTACCATGTCATTTAAGATTGCACATAGTTCAATAAAAATCTCTTCTTTCTTGTTTTCTGTTAAAGATCCTGGGCTAAATGCATCCCTGGTGAAACTCCACTCAAGACTAGGAGGTTACATAGGGAAGGAATATGGACCCATATGTTTAAGGGCTTTTACTGTCTTTACAGCTCATGTTATTGAGTCTTCAAATAAATGTAAAGTTTTGCAAATGGAATCATATTACTTATAGTGTAGTAAGAACAAGGCACCATAATATTCTAGTTGTGATTTAATCAGAGTATCTTAGTTCTATGGTGACTAGCTCCATTACACAATGTTATACATCAGTGTTCTAGCTGCCTGTTGCTCTCCAACTGGCTTTTTAAACCCTGTCTCTGTAGTCCTTGAGGTCTTAAAGGTTGTCCACTATTTCTCTGAGATCTTTCTCAAAGTTCCCCAGCTCTGGCTCATTGCTATCCATCATTTGTTCCTGCTTATTATTTTTGAGCCTGCCGGTGTATTATTTTAAATTGTTCAGCAATAAATTTCACTGGCAATTTGTCAGTGAGTTTACAAACCAACTGCAACTCCTTTTGTGTTCTACTTTCCTTCAGCCTCTGCATTTACCTCTTCCCTAAATTTAAAGTTGGTCTCTCTGCCGAGGTAATTTATTTAGATTAAAACCAGCAGAAATCCAAGTTCTGGCCCCTCTGGGACCACATTTAATACAGTACGTCTCCCTCGTCCCCGCACTCACAGACATTAGAAATACCTCCCTTCACATGTCCCTCTGTTTTCTGTTTTTTTAACAAGCTCTTTATCCATTCTCCATATCCTACCCTGGATCCCCATAGCTCATAGTTAAAGCAAGGGCCTGTCAAGCAAAACTTTTCAAAGGCTTCCTGAACATCTAAATAAACTGACAAACATGGGGCCAAATCCTCCTTGCCTTACTCATGCATACTCCCTTTGAAGTCCCTGGAACTGCTCATGTGAGTAATGTGAGCCGGACGTGGCAAGTAGACCTACAATAGTAGCAGCAGCAGTAAACAATTATATTACGGTAGCAGTCAGAGGCCCCAGTGAGGACTGAAGCCCTATTGTGTCAGGCACTGTACAAACACAGATAAGAGGCAGTCACTACCCCAAGTGGCATACAGTCTAAAAGACACAAAGCAGACAGAGGGGATTGGGATATAACATACGAGCAATTGGCACCACTTGGGGGATTATATGTTTGGCTGGGGTTTAATTTTTTAACTGGGGGTAGAGGTAGGGTGAGGAATGGTAGAGTCAGTAAGGGTAAGGGAGTAGGGAAAGGAAGGCCAGGGAAGGAGTCCTCACCAATCTAGTCACGCTCAGCAGGAAGGGTGATGTGGGCAGCATGGTAAAGGGGAGCCCTAAAGAGGGATTTGAGGGAGGATGAGGAATAGGCTGCATGGGTTTTTATCAAGGAGTATTTCCCATGCACAAGACACTGACTGGTGGACGGAGAAGGCTGGTGACACTGCCGGAGTGAAGGAGGAGATGCTAATGAGAGGTTATTAGAGCGAAGTGGGGCAGGGCTCAGTAGTGAAGAGCCTTGAATGCAAAGACAAGAAGCTTGTGTTTGGTGTGGAGGTGATGGAGTAGCTGGTTAAGGGCTACTGGGAGCGCTGTGGCCAGAGCAGTGGTAGTCCGAGCGTGTGGCTGGAGCAATAGCCACAAGGCTAGTCTTACCAGCATTTGGAGCGGATCTTAGGGGGCAAGTTCGCAGAAGTCAAGGCTAGAGAGGTAGAAGCTTCTACATTCAAGAAGCTAAATGACCTGTGTCCATTTCTAGAGATCTGTGTCATCTACAGCATCCCTGTCCCCTTCCTTTTTATATTGCCAGAAGCCTGAAGCCAGGGTAAGGGTTGATGTACCCTTGGAGAGCAACAGGCAGCTAGAACACCGATGTATAACATTGTGTAATGGAGCTAGTCATCATAGAACTAAGATACTCTGATTAAATCACAACTAGAATATTATGGTGCCTTGTTCTTACTACAAATCAAAACAGGAGCCATCTTGGGGTGTTACTTTCCTGCACTCCTGCCTGTGTGATCTGTGGTCATACCCCTTATGGGACTGCCAGAGCTATAGTGTGTGTGCCCCTCCCCTCTCCCAAACACTCACACCCACGGACAGCTTCCCTTGGAACCCTTGATTTGTCAGAGCTTGTGAATTCCTGAGAATTTCTTGATTGTTTTACAGCACACACATTGTTTGAACTCATTTCTCAGTGCGACGGCCTGCAGTTGTCCACTCAGCTAATAGGGAGCTTCTTGGATTGGCTTAACATGCTTTTGGGTTGGTTTAATTGGGAGGTTCCTGCCTATTTTAGCATCACCTTTGTTTATTTACTGTGTATTTAGCTCTGTGTGGAGGTGTGTATATACAAAAATATGACATTATAGACTATCAGGGCTGGAAGGGACCTCAGGAGGTCATCTAGTCCAACCCCCTGCTCAAAGCAGGACCAATCCCCAACTAAATCCCCAAATGGCCCTCTCAAGGATTAAACTCACAACCCTGGGTTTAGTAGGCCAATGCTCAAACCACTGAGCTATCCCTCCCCCACCACTTTGATGAGTCAAAGTGTATACTTTCTTTCATTGTCCTGTATGATGTTCTTACTATAGTTCAAAAGACTAGAAAACAAAGAGGAGGAATCGGTAGCCAGGTGTCTATGGAATAATCGGGACATTTTGTTATCTGGACATTTTAATCTTGATGACCAGAAGTGATGGGCAGCCTCATCTTCGGGTGGCCTCAGTAGAAGCTGCAAATGCTCAACATATCTGAAAATCAGACCCTTCAATTTTGGGGAGGGAAAGGGAGCTGTACAAAACTTGTGCATGTTTAGTCATCAGTATATAAAATGATTTCTTTGGCTTTTTGGTGCCAACAAAAGCAAACGTCCAAAGAGGCATCATGCTCTGTTTTCATCGATGTTTCAGTTTGCATTTTGTAAGAGTTGAGTTAAAAAAGAAATGTATTTGGAAAAGAATTTTGGAGAAAGGCAGTTTGAAAAAAATGTGATAAAGCAAAAGACTGTGTGTGCTTCCTAGTGTATTGAGGATGAAGTTACATTATATCTAATGTCTTGATCCTTATTTGTGATTTAACGGTAGGGAACACAGTAGTGGATGTGGAATCCATAAATATTGTGGGGAGAGTTTAATATATATATATCTCTGTTATTTCCAACAATAATATGAATATATTTTTAGAGACCAAGTCACAAGGCTGTAGCACATCCAGAAGGGGTGTGTGTGCCACAATAGCGTAGATTTTTGACACTTCCACCCCTCCCTCATTTGAGTCTTTTATGTTTTTTTAAAAAAACAACAACATTACGTCTTAGTGATAGGCTGAATCTAGTTTCAGAGCTAAATGGTACAACAGAGTCCAATCCTGATGGTCTTCCTCACACCCAAGGACTCTCACTGAAGTAAATGGGACTAGGAACATTCATAAAATTAACAAGACTTGGCCAACAGCAGGGTTTAATGTTGTGTTCTGCGGGAAATGGGGTTAATGCGCTAAATTTTGCTCTTGTTTATGCCCGTATCTATCCAGAGCAACTCCCTTTAAAGTAAGTATAGTTACTCAGGATTTATGCTGGTATGAGTGCATTGGTCCAGAAAGTTTAAACGATTTGCAGAAGTCCACAGAGGAGAAATAATTCCACTGTTATTGTGGATTGTGGTGATGGGACTCGGGGGGAAAAGAGACTTGATGAGTATTAACTTACTGAGATTCAGACTGATATAAAAAGGACTTAATGTTTGAAATCTTCAATATTGAAACCCTTCCTTGTGGCTCAAAGCTGCCCTCTTCAGTAAGTTAGGTACATTCTTGTTCCTCAATACAAGTGAGTGCAGAGGGTTTGGGCTCACGAGGGACCATTGCATTTGCAAAGGCCTGTATACTCCTACTTTGTTTCAAAGACACTGAATATAAAGTGTGTTGAGGGGACATAGTTTGGAAATGAGCTGCTGACACATCAACTGAGGGTTCTGCAGAGACTTATTTGAAAGGGAGACTCTTTCCCACTCACCTCTTTCTAAATGCTCTCTTCCCTGGCTCCTACCAACTACCTTCCCACCAATGGGTAGGTTTTCTCCACCTTTACAAATGCCATTTCTGGTTTGCATGATCATTTGCTAAATAAATCATGGTTTTATTTTTAGATTGCGTATACTCCTCAGGGCAGGGAGTGCATTTCCCTCTGTGACTGGAGATTATTTTGCAGATGCTGGGTACTACCACAATATAAATATTAATTAATTATTATTAATTATATGCTAATAGGCCTACACCTTGAGCATCTCTTTGTTCCTTCAGCCCTTTAGAAATTTCACAAAAAATCACTAGAGTCTATTTTATCTCCAAATGACTCTGTCACTTGTGAAGCTACAAGATAATGGGCTTTTCTTTCTCTTCCTTTCTATCTCCTTCTCCCCCTTCTTCTTTCTTTACAAAATAAGAAACCTGAGAGACATAAATTCTCCTTTCGTGTTGGTACATTTATATATGGAAAAGTAATTATTTACTTTTAAGTTCCTATTTGTTTGGACTGGCTAACCTCTTAATTAATCCTAACCCCTTCTTTCCGCATCTTGAATAATAATAATATCAGAATTGTCGGAGATGATTAATGCCCCATGCTTTCCAGGTCCTCAGTCAAGTAAAGATTTATAGAGCGATGTTTGATGGTAGGTTTTTTTCCCCCCTCGGTTGCACTCATTGGCATTTGCTTCTATTTTTCAGGTGTAAATACTGTGACAGGTCATTCAGCATTTCCTCTAACCTCCAGCGGCATGTTCGAAACATCCATAACAAGGAGAAGCCATTCAAATGTCACCTGTGTAACCGATGCTTTGGGCAGCAGACCAACTTGGACCGACACCTTAAGAAGCATGAACATGAGAATGTGCCAGGTAGGGGGTCAACACTGCTGTGTAACTCTGTTAGGGGCACTGGAGAGAGAAATCCCCAATTTAAGTCACTCTGGGTCACATGTGAGAATCTTCATGGAAATCTCCATTCTTGTATGTGAATATTACTGGGCAGCAAAAGAAAAATATTTATTTTAGATGTTTGCATTTCTAAAATTACAAAGAAGTGTGTGTGTGTGTGTGTGTGTGTGTGTGTGTGTGTGTCTCTCTCTCTCTCTCTCACACACAAACTTTTTTAAAGCTGAAATAATATATTTTAGATGCTCACATAACGGAAGCAGATAGATTTTTGCTTATGTGAAAAACAACTTAACAAGAAGGAACCTGTGTATTGAAACCCAAAATATGAACTTTCATCTGAGAAGAAATTTCTTGAAAAAGCTACAAGCAAATAGAAACAGACGTTTATAATGGATTCGTCTTCTCCAATGTTTTTATACCGTAAATGCCTGTAATGCTGAAATGTGTCTGTGACAGTACAAACTTGACATATTATTTAGACCTGCTAACTCCATAGTAACAGAGAGGAAGCATGGTCCAGTGCTTAGGGTTGGGATTTAGGAGACGTGGATTCAGTTTCTTGCTCTGCCCCATCCTGCTTGTTTAACCTTGGGCAAGTCACTTATTAAAGGTATTGAAGCCCCTTAAGAATTTTCAAACATGCCCTGGACATGTTTGAAAATCTCATTAGGTGCCTACTGCACCTTTTAAAATTCTGGCCCTTCATTTCTCCATGCCTCCGTTCCTGCATATGTCAAATGGGGACCATAACCCTGCCCTGCCTGCCCACAGTGCTGTGAGGATAAATTCATTAAAGCTTGCGAGGTGCTCAGATACTGCAGTAGTGGAGGCAGAGAAGAACCTAGGATAGACAGATAACAGTACTTAATGATATTTCCCGTCCCTGTACAGATACTAATTATGTCTCTCTGTGCACATTCACTTTTGGAAGATATCAGCTTTTTCTGCCAAGAGTTTTGTTTCCTGAAACTGTCTTTCAATGTAAATTCTTACCATGCAGTAAATGCTTTATTGTGCTAATTTTCCTCCTTGTTTTCTATTGAGAGCAGCGTTGGCAATACCTGATTCTTTCTCCTGGTTCTTCTCTTGTCCCTTGTCCCCTGTGCAGTGAGCCAGCACTCTGGAGTCATTACTAACCACCTTGGGACCAGTGCCTCCTCCCCAAACTCGGAGCCAGACAACCATGCACTTTTAGACGAGAAAGAGGACTCGTATTTCTCTGAAATCAGAAATTTTATTGCAAATAGCGAGATGAATCAAGCATCAACTTTAACAGATAAAAGGTAAACAAACAAAGCCACGCTAATGGACACTTCTTACCAGACTGTTCAAAGGCTGGCCAGCCATCTCCGTGTTCAGGGCTTGATTTCAAATAGTCTGAAAAGATCAGAGAAATAATGAGAATCCCGCAAGGCACTCAACTTAGACTCCTTATACAGAGCGTCTCAATTCTTTTTTGCTTGTGGCAGAAGTTACATAAGAACGGCCATACAGGATCAGACCAAACGTCCATCTAGCTCAGTAGCCTGTCTTCCGACAGTGACCAATGCCAGGTGCTTCAGAGGAAATGAACAGAACAGGTAACCATCAAGTGATCCATCAACCTTGCAGAAAAGACTTGGAAAGCTCTGTATAAGGAGTCTAAGTCTCTCAGGAGCCAAAGTCCCTGTCACAGAATGAGTGGTACAGCTCAGACTGGTGTGTAGCGTATGAGGAATGGAAGTGCTGTCTTTGGGAGCGAGTGTCAGGGGAGGACCCTCCCATGAGCACAGAATTCAGTGGGGAAGGGCACTACGGAGGAAGAAATCAGACACTCATCATAAGTCAAGAGGTTCACTTTTCAAAACTCAGCTGTGGTTTTAGAGTCTGGTCACTTGGCATCTCGGGCTCACTGCTGTGTTGGGTCCCCCTTCCCAAGTAGAGCTGGATGAATAACATCATTTTCAATTATCAGAGGGGTAGCCGTGTTAGTCTGGATCTGTAAAAAGCGACAAAGGGTCCTGTGGCACCTTATAGACTAACAGACGTATTGGAGCATAAGCTTTCGTGGGTGAATACCCACTGTGTCTGACGAAGTGGGTATTCACCCATGAAAGCTTATGCTCCAATACGTCTGTTAGTCTATAAGGTGCCACAGGACCCTTTGTCGCTTTTTACAGAACCAGACTAACACGGCTACCCCTCTGATACTTGACATCATTTTCAATTTAATGGCAATTTCAAAAAGTAAAAAAAAATTGTTTCAGATAGGACAGAAAATGAAAATTTTAGAATTTTCTGGCAAATTGAAAAGTTTAAAAAAATTGCTTTGGGTTGAATGAAACATTTCATTTTGGTTCTTCATTCTGTTGTTCTTTAACACTTTTGATATTTAAAGAAAAATTAAAAGAAATTTTTCAACAAAGTTGTTTCAAACAAAAAAAAAATTTGAAATGTTTCATTAGAAAAAATGTCCAATCATAATGTTTCATTTTTTTCAGATTATTTTTTCCTTATTTGGTGGGAGGGGGAAAGATCCCAAATCAACAATTAGCTGAATCTGACCAGAATTTCCAAAATGTTTAGATGTTGCCAAATGTTTATTTTTTCCTGAGGAAAAAAAAGTGTGGTCCAAAATGTTTTGCCCAGCTCTATTCCCATGGATCCCTTCGTTTTCTCCATCACTCGTGAACCCAGCCCTGGATATTCAGTTGCATTCATAAACAAAGAACAAATTGTGCTGATGCTGGATGATTACGCTGCATTCAGCGCTTAACTTACCAGCAGGCCAGCCTCGTGTTCATTGCCAATGCTACAATAGTGACAGCCCTTTAAACTTTACATGTGGAATGCAACACTTCACTTCACCCAGAATGCTTGTAAAAATGTGAAATTTAGACATGTTTTCCATTTCCTTCCCTACTCTGTTGCCTTCATCTCAGCCCTGAAAGCAAGATAAAGTAACCCCATCTCAGATACAGACTTCTCACCAGAGTTTTTGTTTAGATTGCACACGTGGAAATAAAACAGGGGGGGAAAGGTTCGCTGTATTTCCTGAGGGAAATTAGGAATCTTTCAACCTTGCCTGATGTAGACAAAAAAATAGACAAGAGGAGAACTCCTCCGCAGGCTGGTATAATTGATCCAGAGGGAGAATCAAATTTGGGCCTGTACCTTAAAGAAAATCGATCAAAATTCTCTAAAACAAACATGCTGATGATGTGTTTAGACTAAGTGACAAGATCCAGGGCTCGGAAAACATCTGAGTTTCCCCTTAATTTTTTAAACCTTATTTTGACTGAGTGATATTTAATCTACAGGGGAACCAAAAAGGACATTCTGTGTTGTACAAATGTCACTCCGTTCCAGGGCCAGTTGTAATTATGTTCCTGATGCTCTGTTGTTTTTACAAATAACCATTCAATGCTGATACCAAGTTTGAAAGCTTTTTTGTTTTGGTTTTAAAAAAAAAAAGCCAAAAATGTTTGAATGGGACCTCCATGTAATTAGTGTAACCTACATTCAACAAAAGCAACAGGACAATGATGTTCCTGATTTTAATATTAATTTGGTTGTGGAAAATTTCTGGGTGAAGAAGTTAAAGTTAAACTTCTATCATTCCATCTAGCAGCATCTCAGACTGTTCCAACTACACATTGTTACCAAATGGGATCTTGTTCTCTTAACCTGGTTTGTTTTATTTCCTGGCAGCTTACTTCCTCTCATGTCCATATGGGTATAACAAGGGGCAATGGGACAAAGGAAGATGTAGGTTGGTTGTTAGGGAAAGTTTGTAATGAAACCTATCCCAATGTGGAGCTTTGTCGCTAGGCGAGTGGTTATTTTGATACTATAAGCACAGAGAAAAACATGGCCCTTGGCCCATAGAAGTTACAGTCCAAAGGGTGAAGATACTTAAAACCAGACTGAACAAAATCTAGTTTTAAGAATGGACAATGTTTGACTCACTCCATTAGCTCTTAGACACTGTAGAGAACAATCTTGCATTGGTGAGGAAGCACAGATTAGTTCATCTAATAGGTATTTTCTGTCCCCAGCCATTCTGAACCATAAATAACAAATACATGGTTAAATGCCTGAATCTTGCACCAAAGTGGCAGTGCATTGCTGCTCACAGCTGACCTCTTGGTTCCTTCCCCGGTGCTCAAACATTCCAGGCCAGAAATCCAAGACATTGATAGCAACTCCCAGTGTCACGGGTTAGCAAATGAGAAAACAGAAGATGTGGATGAGGAGGAGGAAGAATTGGAGGAGGAAGATGACGACAGCCTGACAGGGAAGTCACAGGATGAAACAGTATCACCCACAACGGAGCCCCGAGGAACGTTTGAGGATGAGGAGGATGAAGAGCCCACATCCCTCACCATGAGCTTTGACCATACCCGAAGGTGAGTGGGGCCATTTCCTCTGGGAAGCAGAATGGGGTTAGATTTCTCACCCTGTGTCATTAGCAGGTCATGGGTGGTATCACTTTATTTTTCAAACCATGAATCATACCTCCAGTTTGCCCTAGGAACTTCATTTTCACCATGGTGGGGAGCACAAATAAATAAACGGAAATGCAAAAGTATAAAAAGACAGATACAGAAGGCCTGAAAAATGCACAGTGGGAAAGGTAAACAGCACATGAAAAAAACAGCCTCCTCAACGTATCATGAACTCTTCCACCTGACACAATGGCAATGTCTTGATTTTCAAAACCCTGGTCAGTGAAAAGAGAGCTGGTGCAAGGAAATCTAGAGAATGGCAGCTTTCCACTACCCCACCCATTTTATCTGCAGCAAAATGGCAGCATCCTCTTGTCTCAGGATGTAAGGCCCTGCATTCATTTCAGGTGAGATGGTACGGCTGGCCTTTGTGTGGGCAGAGTGGATGTGTCCCCAGGCCTTTGTTTGCTTTTTGTGCCCATCCGTGCAGTGCACCCTGGTTCGTAAACCATCAGAGGACATTTGCAAGTCCAAAAAGGACACTTCTGAAAGAGTTAATCGGTATTCTGTTTTACTCAGGTGCCCATCCAGATTGACAATACAAAGCACCCCAGTGGAAAGCTGTGTAAATGAAGCTAGGCAACTATCTGCCGCAGATGTAGTTTACAGAATGAGGTAGAGCATTAGCGTGAAGGCACCCTAGGATAACTGTACATTAGAAAGTGCAATAAAATATAGCAGTGTTTGATTGTAAAGATATAAACAATGGTGGGAAATGGAATCCACTCCTTCCGTTAGCTCTCTTACCCACTTGCCTTTCACAAAATCTGTTGCATTACATCCAGGAGCTGGCATGCCAAAGTTCATCCAAAGGGTGGTCCAGTAGATAGGGCAGGAAACCAGGCTACTATATGTCACTCTGCCATCGACTCACTATGCGCTCTAGCATTTAAGTCACTTTAAGCCTAAATGTTTGGGAAAAGTCTATTTTTGACTCTCAGTATTTTCAGAGGGGAGGAGCACCTGCAACTCCCACTGACTTCCATTGGGGTCGTTGGTGTTCAGGAAAATCAGGCCGTAGGTATCTAAAGTTGGTTCAAAACATCGGGCACTTAACATTAAAGTCCACTATTGAAATCATAGATCTTAGCCTCTCTTGTGCCACAGGTTTCTATCCACTAATGATGCTTTGATATCTATGGATGAAAAGTGCTATGACATGCAAAGTATTATTCTATTCAAAGGGTTTTTTTCAGTGTGTCAGCGCTTTCCAATTAAGCCTATTGTAACCCCTGGGGAATATGGTGCAGTGGCTCTATTCCCCCAACTTTCAGGAATAGCTAGTAATCAGGCATCTCTGAATAGGAGACCAGAATGAAAACGGTAACCACACCGAACCACAGAACATATGGTAGCACTAATGCTTGAGATGTATGTGCATAACCATGCATTCCACTTTTTCTTTGCTCCTTGCATCATGTGCATTTTTTTGTCCACCTGTCTGTCTCTTCATGCATGTGGCTTGTGAGAACCCCATGGTATGTGCATGCAGGCACTGACTTAGCAACACACACATTGGTTAGACTGTAAACGGTGAGATAAGCTAACAACAGGTCAACCCCTTCCCCTGGTCATTGGTACAGGTGTATTGAGGAGGAAGAAGCCGGCTTGTTAGATTTGGAGCAGATGCCGAATTTTGGGAAGGGGCTGGATCTTCGCAAAGCAGCCGAGGAAGCATTTGAAGTTAAAGATGTGTTTAATTCCACCTTAGACTCTGAGACAATAAAACAGACTCTGTACAGGCAGGCTAAAAACCAGGTAGGTATATGACAGAACATTTTACCGAGCTTACCTCCAGCATTTAGCATGGGATTATCAAACAGCTGGGTTCCTTTAGCCAGGTCTGTGTTCTGTCCATGCTGAACTGGAATTCTGATGGTGAAGACTAACTTGTAAATCACATCTGTTTGCTACCATGTTGCAGTCCAGGAGAAATAGGAGTGGGGAGGGAATTCTTAACTCAAGTTTTATATAATCAGTTCCACGTACCATTATAACCTTGTGGAGTGAGTGCAGGTTTAGAGCTATATAGTGATGTAGGTTCATCTATCTATATCTGTCTATAGAAATGTATATAGAAATATGATAATGCAATAGTTACAAACTTTGGGCCAAATCCTCAGCTGGTATATATTGGTTTCACTGGAATAATGACAATTTACACCAGTTGAGCATCTGGCCCTTTGAAACAGCAGTAAAATATAACAGGATTTAATAATAAAAACATAAAATCTAATTCAGAATGATAGTTTCTAGACTTGCTTGGAGAACTGCATCATCTTAAGCAAATTTAGAAAATGCCACTGTTTTGTGCATTAAGCTTTAAACCTAACGCGCCTTTAAAATAAAATCCCCCCTTCTTATCAAAAGACATACCAGTTCAGGCACAGCAAAAGCTGATGCAGGCCTTCTTCCAAAACTCGAAACAAAATCCTGAAATTTGAAAGAACTTGGAAATTTTTTTTTTTTTTTTAATTAGCATGGCTCTGTGCTCGCTGGTTTTGCCATAAGCAGAAATGCCATGAGAGGCTCTGTTCTCATGAAGTTTGCATCCTGGTCCAAATAAAGCAGCAACAGATCTTATGAGGGAGCCGTTCTGTGAGATGTCCAGCCCCATTACCAGAACAAAGAGGAAACATTGAGACAAAATTCAGAGAAAGGGTCTGCAGAAAACCTGCAAACTTTTTGCCATCGACCATCTGTTCTTATCTGCTTAAAAGAGGCCACGTAGTTCAAATGCTTCTTTTAAGAATACTAGTGTAGGTTTGAGTATATTTACCTCTGCTTGGGGTTTTATTGGGGATGAGATCAGCTACTGTACTTGGAATCGTTCTGTCCTCTAAGCAACAGGAATACAATACAATTTATCTTAAAGACCACCCAAAGGTGCAACTAAATGCAGTTGCCTAATAGAGGTGGGTCTTTAATTAAAGGTCAAAGGGGATTGTGCTGGAAACCCTAAGGCTACTTTATAGTGACTGCTTAAGACTGGGGTCAGGAAGTTGGGGTGGGGGTTGCCTATTGGAAGCGTGGGTATTTTATACAGATTTGACTGCACTTAAGGGAGTATTTTGGCTATGAAGATAGCACTGCAGTTCTTTTCTAGTGAAAAAAAGAGCTCATTTATCCTTTCAACACAAGCCACTTGCATGCCTCTGTCTGTGTCCTTTTACTAATACGCTGAGTGTACTAACTATTTAGGCACAACTTGATTTTTCTTGACTGCAATGTTAGATCTGGCACATGATTTTTTTTTAAGTAATTTTGTAGTAAGTGAGATCTAAGACATGTTACATATTGTCAAATATGATATAACTTGGACAATTTAAAATTCTCTGCTCTGCATGTATTACTGCAGGCAATATGGTGGGAAAACAATATTTATCTGGTCAGACCAGCACAGAAATCTTACCTTTCTATCAGTTTTGGCTCACTGTCACTGTAGTATTGAAATGCACACATCCATGCAAACACCATAAAGCAGAATGCTCTACAGCACATACAGATGAGCATGAGATACAATGGTCAGATTGAGAACTGGATCTGAATTTGAGCTTCCTTTGGGGGAGGGGGAAGTTGTAATTGGAGTTTTGGGGCAGTTTTATTACTATTCTTTATTAAATTTGTGTTGCAGTAGTAGTTCCGGGTGCCATTGTGCTAAGCACTGTACAGACATATGCAGTAAAGCGAGCGTCCAATCTAGGGCCCCTATCCTGCAAAGATTTATACACGTACTTAACGTCACATACCGTGGGTAATTCCAGAGATTTTAACTCACAATGTGCAAAGTTCAGCACATGCATAAATCTTAGAAGGATCAGGACCCTGTTGTGACAAGATGCAAAAAATGGATGAGACAGACAAAAGTGGAGGCGGGAGAAGGGCTAGGTAGCAGCAAAGCAACCAAATTACTCTCCAGTAAGCAGTGGTCTCTGCTCAGTCATGGACTAGGCTTTGCCAGCTGGTAGTGCTGCAATAAACACACACAATTATACCACACTTACATTGCCAAACTGACACACACAGGCTCCAGCTCCCTCCAGACACAATGGAAATGCTCAGTGAATGAAATAACATGCCATGCGCAAGCTCATCTCCACGGAGTCACTCAGTCCCTTTTGTCCTGTATAGCTGAACCCCCAGTTACAATTCTCCTTTTATGAGTCAGCAATAACTTCTGAAGGCCAAAGTTTCACTGTCTTTCCCAGGTGCACCGCAAAGTTATCATGCCCAGGTGGGGGGGGGGGGGGGGGGGGGCGGGCGGGACCCCCTCACCAACGCACACTGTTCCATATGCACTTTTGAAAACTATGTGAAAAAAGGCAGCCAGAACTCCCTGGATATGTTCGGTGGGAAGAGTAATGTCCTCTAGGAGAGGGGTCTAGATGCAAGTGTCCGCATTTGTCATGAAGTGCAAGGTGCAAGGAAGGAAGTTAAGGGGTGTGTTTGAGATGCCCTTCCAAACCCACTGCGGCCTTGTAAAACTCTATGGCAAGGGCCACGTTTTTTTCCTCATGTGTGAACATAAGTATTGATTGGCAGGCGGGATCCCCAGCCCACACCAAAGTGACTGACACTGACTGTCCTGACTTTCTGGTATGTAAATAGTTAAATGACTCTCAACTTCATGTGGATTATTCCAGGACCCAGGAGTGTGTATTCACCCATTTCCCTTCCTCTGCTTCTTCCCCTCCTTTAGGCTTATGCAATGATGCTGTCCCTTTCTGAGAACGCTCCCCTTCACACTTCTTCCCAGAATTCTCTGGATGCTTGGTTGAACATGGCAGGAGCAGCCTCAGAGTCGGGGACCTTTAATCCCATCAACCATCTCTGACGGGTCGAGAAGGCACTGGTTCAGAGTCGGAGCGAGGAGGTGGTGGTGCTGTGACTGCCCTATCAGAAATTCTAGCACACAGAAGATGGATCAGAGGGCCTCAGGGAGTCGTCTGGGCTTTTGGCTGGGAGAATAAACCTGTCACATGTGACCTGCAATTCCCAGATTTGTATCTATCCACAGTCGTTCGTTTCTAATTTGTTAGAAAGAAACTCTCCAAACTGGATAGCCCTGAAGCAGCCCTAGGATTCCACCATCTCTAAGAATAGTGTAAACCATAAGTGAATTGCAATGGTGCAATCAAATACTGGCCCCTTTACAGTTACAAGACAATATAACTGAGCCAGCTGGTTTCTGCTTATAAACTAAAACTTGAAGTCATTCGACCCCTTGCCCCCCTCACACACCACATTCACTTCAGCTGAATAGCAGTCATAAGGGGGGGAAGAGATCTAGAGCTGATCCATCCCTGGTATCATTCTGAGATAGTCACCAGAGTTATACCAAGGAACGGTGAATTTGACCCATTTTACTTAACATAGCTCTTTGAAAGAGCGTGAAATTCTGCACCCCCCACAACAGCACTCATCTTTACACTGCAAAGTGTTGTTGTGAGTCTCTGTTGTGGGAAGCCACGCTCCCCGACATGCAATGTCCAAGCAGGGCTAGCTTCTGCCAAGAGCACAAATAATTGGTGCAGAAGGAGCATTGCTGGGGTTGCTCATACATGCACACAAATACATAGACAATGCCCCGGAAGCTCGACCCTAGAAATCTCCTGTGTAGTTTCTCTCCCAGAGGGTCTTTCAAATGCTCTCTTCAGTGTTGGGGAAGAACCCTCTGCCCTGTGCCCTTGTGTTGGTTTGCTGGTGGTTGCTTATGCCGAGTACCCTGCCATCATTTACCCCATAATTTTGATAATATGACTACAAAAAATCCTTGTTTTTAATAACTTTATGAGTGCAGCTCAGCTCCTCAAGCATATGGCTAAGGAAATGTATTTTCTCTCTGGATCTACAATTACTTGCAATTTTTTACGGATGATTTTAAATTGCTTTGAAGCCTCAGCTCTTTTGCTGACATAAAGCAGCCTCCAGAAATCCTGTGACATTAGTTTGTGCTATTTCTACATTGTAATAACAACCTGGTGTTCTAGCTGTGATTTTTATAGGTAAAGCTAAACCTGGACATAATTCTGAAAGGGGTCAGAAATATTATAAAGGATAACATTGGCTACTCTGACGACGTTTGTAATGTGTGTGCTGAGAAATGCCTAGATATGCTGTTACAGAATCAGGGTTGTCTGAAGGTAAGACAGGTGCATGCCACCAAGTGACTTCAAGTTGAATCAGGGGTGCCGCAAACTTGCCCATCTGAGTGCTGCATCAGCAACTCACCTAGGAGCCTCCAGATGCTGTAAGGACCCAATTCTGTACAAGCCTGACTCTAAGTTAGCAGGAGTTTTTCCACTGATTTCAATGGACTTTGGACCAGGCTCCAAACACTTAAAGCTGGGTGTACTACTTGTAGTAAGTGCTACACCTAGTAGTCAGTGGTTGCAGAGTTGGGTCAGTAGCTGACTTCAGAGAAACGTCTCACAGTGGTAAACACATCTACTAGTAAGTGTTTGCGAGATTGGGCCGCTAGTTTATATGTGCGGGAACAGACTGCAGCTGCTCTGCTGTTGAATATGAAAGAGGAGGTTCCAGCATGCAATGCTCCATCTGGAAGCAATTGCTCAGATTACAGTGGAGCATTGCATGCTGGGATTTGCAGCCCTGATGGGCCACACCTCATACTCCGGAGAAGGTCAGCTATGAGACCTCAGCTGGCCCCTGGGGCTGCACCTCCGTTTGCCACTGGGGTAGAGGGAATGAAAGGATAATTAGCAGCATCAAATAATTTTCCATAGTTCACCCAGGGAAAGACGACATCCCTCCTGCTAGTTTCTCCAAGTCACCATGTATATGTGCCGAAGGCTCTGAATCCAACAGTGATCTATACCCCCCCAGTTTCAAATGTTTGCACAAAGCTCTTGACTAGGTGTAGCCCAAGAACTGACAATGTCAAAAGAAACCAGTCTCTAAGAGTCAGATGGAACATTCCTTTCCCTGGCACGTCTGCCAATGCTAACATTACAGTACTTGCCATTCACTTGGGCTTTAAATTATTCCCATAGGGGCCAATTTAAAATAATAAAATAATTGTTTTTTTTTCCTAATGGAATTTACCTTAATCTGTATATAACTTGTAATTTTTTTTTCTAATTCTTTTCTTATTTTATTTCTTCCTTAACAGTATTTTTTGCATTGGATATCATTATTGTGAAGAAATAATGTTAATATAAGTATCTAGTGAAGGACCAAAATTGTGTAATTAAGGTTGTATGTTGTATGATTGATAACCAGGGAGTAGATTTTTTTATGTGCCAAATGACCCTAAATAATCCTATTCTTGCTGCCGATTTTCCCGACAATCATGTTTTGTTAAAGTTGAGTTTCAATTACATTTGCATGTAGGATGTGTTCTATTTATTTCTTTTATTGTTTGGAAAAAATATCACAACAAGAAAACAAAAACAAAACAAAAAACCCTTCCAACATGCCCTTAATAAAAAACAAAAGAAACAAACTAAAAAAAAAAGAGAGAGAGAAATAAAGCACCAAAAACTGTAAATAAAAACAACTGTGAAACTCCATATTGTAGCCAGGATGGCATGCAATGCAGATGTGCCATATTTTGCAGGGGAAATCAGTGCTTATTTTTATAAAGGAATGGAAACAAAATCCCATCAGTATAATTTTTGTTAACTATAAGCAATCTATGCCTTGTAAATACACCTCTACCCCGATATAACGCAACCCAATATAACACGAATTCGGATATAATGCGGTAAAACAGCGCTCCGGGGGGGCAGGGCTGCGCACTCTGGTGGATCAAAGCAAGTTCGATATAACGCGGTTTCACCTATAACGCGGGAAGATTTTTGGCTCCTGAGGACAGCATTATATCAGGGTAGAGGTGTACCTGAAATACAAATCTAGCAGTGTAGATGGGTAGCTGCAGGATAACACTGATTCAGTTGGCATTTGTAGCCATTTACAAAAGTAACTGGCATAATTACCAGAACTAAAAGGTTCTTCTAAAAATAAAATGGTATAGTACATAGCGAGGTTGTCAGCAATATTATATCACTAAAATATTCATTCTTTCGAGAAACCGACATACCCCCAAAGAACCTGCAAGGTGAAGTTTCATCCTACAAACATGCTTAATTTTAAAGTAAATCAATGGGACTATGTATGTTTTTGCAGGATTAAAGCTCAGAGGCCCACTCCTATCAACACTATCAATGATAGTGCTTACCACACACTACGCCCCACAGCAAGCACTTAAGCACATTCTTAGCCTTAAGCATAGGATCAAGTCCGTCCCTACTCAGTTAAAACAGGTAAGTCTGTGCTTTGAAGTCAATGGAGCTACTACATGCTTAAAGTTAAGCACATGCTAATGTCTCTTTCTGGATTGGAGCAAGAGTGCTCTGCACCTTGCAAGATCAAGCCCTAAGAGCAGGAGTAGGTGTTTGCAGAGTCCGATCCTAAGTTTCATCTGTAAGTAGCTGGCATGGGTTTGTGAAGAGGGGGTCAGCTTTGCTTCTCCATGTGTGGGGATAACTTGCCATGGTGACCTCATCTCCAAACCAGGGGTAAAGATCTTAGAAACAGAAATGTTATACAGGCTTTTTTGTCTTCCCTCCAGTCTGTGGAAACTGCCCCGTTATTTGTTCCATTGTTTCTTCAAAAGAACAATGTGTTAAAAGCTCTTAATTCTGCCTGACAATGAGCAATATCTGTTTACTTTCTAGGGACCAGGTTGTGCCACCATTACTGGGGCTGAGTAGCTGACTGATTTGAACAGGGCTCATTGAGGAGTACTTTACCAACCACCCTGAGTAAGGGTGACACAGTCTAGCCCTATATTAAGAAGATGAAATTTTTTTTAAATCATAAAATGATTTTTTTTCTGTTTCCTGTTACTTAAAAAACAAAAAAGACCACACTTTGTTTCCGTCCTTTTCTTCTAGCTGGTCTCTGTCCATTTAAGTATCCAGACTTCTCTAAACCAGCACTGGCTACACGTTTTAAGATTTTTTCCAAGCAAGATAAGCAAATACAATGCCTAATCAAATTAATGTTTATCCATTAGCCCCTTCTTTAATTGCACTCAAAATGTTGCGATTTGTAGCTCATATTTTTGGGGCTTTAACAAAAAAAAAATCGCTTATTTTGAAGGATGTCCCGTGAGACTTGCTTATGTCAAGAATAAATAGAGGCAAGAAAGATCCCACAGAACTGAGACTCTCCTTTAAAACTAGCCAGGGGAAGGAACTGGGGCCTCTGCTGGAGCTATGTAGCTCATGTGCACCCTACACCACTAACATATTATGCTCAGGAACCAATGCTGTTGATGTGGTACATCCAGGGGTGGAGTTAGAGTGATTTCCATAAGGCCTGGTAATTGTTTGAAATCAAGGGTACCATCCCAGAGGTGATTATAACTAAGAATTTTGTTGGAGGGGGGCTATTTATTTTACCTGTTTTCATGTCTGCAGCAGGTAGCCATATTGCCATAATAGCGGGAGGTGAGGAATGGGACCTGCTGTGTTATTTTTCATATCACCAGGTGGATCCAAGGAGGCTATTAGCAGCCTCTGGCTATGCCAAACTGTTCAGTACTGCTGAAATAAAACTATAAGCCAGAGGGACCCTTCCTTCTACTGATTGCTACTTTAAATTTAGAAATTTTATATATGAGCTAATTATAAAAGCAAAAAAAAACAAAAACCGTTCCTGCTACTCCTTTCTGTTGCTCTCTCAGATACCAGCATTAAAAATAATGCGGTTAATCACTTGGCAGGTACAGAATGTTCAAGGTGCAATGCAACTGCTGTGCTACTGAATGTGCCAGGTCCATCCAGGTAGAATGCACTTGTTTTGTTTTTGGAAGATCCAGGTATGTCCAGGTAGAATGCACCAGATTTGCTGTTAGACATACTAGGCATGTTCCTGTTGAAGACGCTGGGCTGCTGACCCTCCTGGGGCCTCGTTACAGAATGCATCTACTGCGTTGCTGAACATACCAGCTGGGTCCGACATGCCATTACGTCACTGGACGATCAGAGCCCAGCCGGCACAGCAGCATGCTAGCAGCAAACCAAACCAAAAGGGTTAAGAGCAAAACATGAGCTGAAACGCTACACTGCATTCCAGGACAAATAACAACGTTACGATTTTCTGTCTTGCTCAAAACGATTAGTGGAGCCTCTCGATTTCCCCAAAACCAGCACTTAGAAATTCAATAGTTATTGAAAACTGCTTCTCTTTTTCATTTCATACGAAGCATTGATAAAAGCACTTGCACAATGACCTATTAACATGTTTAGACTCTAAGCATCAAAGCACTGGACTGTAAGCCCTCTCTCACCCCTCCAGCCTACTTCAATCTACTGACTTACATTCAATTTTTACGTGCTGTATTTTGTGTGTGTGTATGTGTGTGTGTGGGGGGGAGGGGGAAGCATCATGGTGTCGGAACCTGCACTTTGCTGCCTGTTTAAAAACAAGCAGGGAGTGAAACAATCTGCTCAGATTTGTGTTGGTAACATGAGGGCAAAAGCTCTGCTCCTAGTTGATGGTCAGTAGTGTTTAAAGCCATGAAACTGTTTCTCTGTAGTGTTGAGTGATACTGTGATTAAAATGTTATTGCATTATTCCAATATTTTTTTCTTTATTCTGTCATTGATTCTTATTACCACTTTTGGAAAAGAACGAAAAAGAGAGAGGAAAAAAAAAAGGCAGCTTTGATTTCCGAATGTGCAATTCACGTGTGAACAAAGTAATTCTGAAAATATTTCTCAATGTATTTTACGTTCTCATCACTCTCTTCAAAAGTAAGAGATGTTTTGCCCTGATGTCATTTTCAGCCTGCAGAAGATGTAATTTAAAACATATATATATTATGCTTGCAAAAATCATAAATCTGTGCATCCTATGTCATTCCTTCTCCCATTGTTACAATACAGATTTGATTTAGGGTTTGTTTGTTTTTTTCCTTTAGAACTGTATAGTGTTTTGTTTTTTTTTAAAAAAAATCAATTGTAAATGTCTGGTTTTCATATAATGTTTAAAAAACATTGAGAAAGAGGATGGTGCTTGTTCCATATCATTCTTGATTGTATATTGCTTCTGTTATGTTTATAAGTAAACTGTGCATGACTTGTGTTTAGCAGTCATTATTGTGTCTGTTTGTGAAATTTTTATCAAAAAGAAAAAAAATTCTGTAGATGCACTTATTGTATATGTGATTAGGTTTTGCGTCCAAGGCTAGAAGCCTTGAACTGCCAAGGAAGAAAAAAAATGGTGGCAGTTATTAATTAATATGAAATCGCTTTGTTGGGAGCATAATGAAATAAATGAGACGAAGTGTAGAAAATAATTAAAAAAAGCGATTTTACAAATTTCATTTTGATGCTTGTGATAAAAGGCAAATGTATTTGTGTAGAGAAAGACCTTTAAAATAATGAATAGGAAAGCTGATTTTGAGGTTAATGCTGTAGAATAGGAATGTATACCAAATGTAATCTTTCCAATGCTACAATGAATTTATACATGAGATTGATATGCAATAAACCTGTGTGCTTTTCTAAGTAATGGCCCTGTGAGCTTTCTTGGCACAAGACAATGTACCACAAAGTGATGCCTGAAAGTGGTCCAGCATTTTCATTTTGACAGTAGAGAAATCATAATAAAGATGTTTGGGTCTAACAAACTCACCAGCAGCCCCACGAGTTTCCGTGGGAATACAGGTTTGAATAAGGGATAGGGCCCAGCTGTTTGGTTTTAGGCGTGGGGAAAGATGGGTTTGTAAAAGTTTGGGTTTGGGACTTTTACATAGTCTCAATTGTGGCAAACAGCATCTTGGATTCCCTCCACCCACCCACTCCATTGTTGTTGCTGTCTTCTAACACAGAGCAGCAACGGCTAGTCAATTCTTCTTTCCACTGTAAGGTACACATCACATGGACCTAGAGACCCAGGAGAGGTTCTCCAATGGCAAGAGGAACTCTAAAGTGCTGGCAGTATTTCTTCAGACAAGGCCAACGAGTACTGCTCTGAGGATGAGGACGAGTCTAAGCAACTCTGTGTGACAGAGCACAGATGGCATGAACTCACTTTTCAATAGTAAAGTACCTGTGGTGACCATTTGAACAGGGTGTACCCCGAGTTGGCAGGATGTTTGCATTGTAAATAAATACTGTAGAATGACCTTAATGAGCGTAACCTTTACATGGCCACATCTGAAATTCAGCAAGAGATCTTTTAAGCATAACTTCTGGATCTTTTGGAGAAGACAACTAAGGTAAAGTGGGTTCCTGATGCCCTAACCTTCCTGAGTAGGTCTTCCCAGGTCAAGAAGAGACAGCCAATGCTACTGGGTACTCGAACGTCAGACTAACGGGGGTGTCTCTTTCTTAGCAGAAAATTCTTAGTGACAGGTGAGTCTCTTACATTATAAGAGGGAGGAATTAAAATACG